TGAGCCAGAACCTGATGTCCGATGCTGCCACTTGGGGAACCCAGATCAGCCTCCCCCCGTCCCGGGAGGGGTGAAGCCTGAGGCGCGAGAACCATCTCTGAAAATTCCTCATGTGGAGCAGGCCTAGCCGCACCACAGCATGAGCCGCCGCCATCATTCCCAGCAGGGACCTGAGGCGCCGAGCGGGGACTCTGGGGCCCGCCAGAACCTCCCGGGCCAGACGGGTAATATTCATCCGTCTGTCCACGGACAATGCAGCACGGAATGTCACAGAGTCTAACTGCAGCCCGAGATAAATCATGCGTTGGGCTGGCTGCAGCTTGCTCTTCTCCCTGTTCACCACAAAGCCCAGACGCTGTATGTGGGACAGGACCCAGTGCGTGTGGCTCACGGCCACTTCCCTGGATGAGGCCAGAATTAACCAGTCGTCTATGTAGGTTAAAATTCTTACCCCTGCGCGTCTGAGCGGCTCCAGTGCTGCCTCCACACATTTGGAAAAAGTCCGAGGCGCGAGTGCATAACCGAAAGGGAGACGGCAGTACTCGTAATTCCTCTCTCCCACTGCGAAGCGCAGAAACCTCCTGTGTTCTGGCACTATGGGCACGTGGAAGTACGCATCCGTCAGGTCTATGGATGTCATCCAGTCTCCCTCCCTGACACACTCGAGGAGCTGCCTTGTGGACAGCATCCGAAACTGCCGTTTGGAAATGCACTCGTTTAACACGCGCAGATCCAGAATGGGACGCACCCCACCTGACTTCTTTGGCACTAAGAAGTAAGGGGAGTACAGCCCCCTGGTGGCGTCCTGCGGGTCTACCTCCACTGCTGCGCCTCAACTCAGCAGAGAGGAGACCTCCGCTTGCAGTGCCTCTATCGATCCCCGTACCTGAGAGCGTACTGCCCGTACGCCTCGGAATGGTGGTGGCTTTCGGAAAAATTGCAGAGCGTAACCCCTGCGCAAAGTTTTCTCCAGCCAAATATCTGTCAGCAAGCCCTGCTCCCTCCAGATGCTGTAGAAGTCTGTGAGGGGCGGAACGGGAGCTGGAACACGAGACGTCACGGCCCCACCCTCTCCTGGTGTTCCTAGCAGGGAGGGGGGGTGGCTGAAAGGGCCGGGGGGCCCCCTGCGTCACACCGTGAGCGCCGGGGGCGGTCACGTGTTCTGCAGGCCCGACGTCATAAGTACGGGACTGCTCACCACACGTGACTCGGCTGCTGTGCCCCCCCCTGGCTCTTGCCTCATGGAGGGGGGGGGCGAGCCCCTGGAGTGGGAAACCCCGTGTTAGCCTTGTAGCTCAGAGATGCTAACACGCGTTCGGCCGAAGCACACACATCATTACTCACCAGATCCCTCCGCCTGCCCTCTCTCTGGGAGGGCATAACATGAACCCGTGAATCGGAGCTCGTGGCTCGCGTAGCGCGCTGCACGCCCTTCTCTGGGGGCTGCAGGCCTAGCGAAGCCACGTTATGTGCTCGAGAAGTAACACAAACAGAATTCAGATCATTTGACATGTTACATACCCCCAAATGAGACTCAGACAGCGAGTACTGATGAAATGCCGGACGGCTTTTATTGAAAGAATTCTTCCCACCCCAACCTCCTCTGCCATAGGGAGGTCGTCGGGTCCCGCGAGCCTCCCGTGTGCCTGTCTGGGCCCGGGGGCCTCGTCGGGGGGGGACGATAAGCCACGGAGCGTGGATATAGACCAGGGCGCCTCCCGGGCGAACGCTCCCTGCCTCTGTCTCGGCTCCGCGCTGGTGGGCGGGCCTCGCGCCTCGGCGCTAGGTGCTGGGCTAGGCTAGCCGAGTCCTTGGCTGCGGTCTCCAGTCTAGCCACCAGGGTCTGCATCTCCGGACCGAAAAGAGACGTCTGGGAGATAGGCAGGTCCAACAGCTGCCTCTTCTCCGCCTCTCTGATGTTCGCCAGCCCAAGCCAGAGGTGCCTGGCCCCGACTTGAGCTGCTGCCATGGTGCGGCCGCCATCAACAGCTAGCGCCTGGCACATGCGCAGGATCGCCGCTGAAGTGGTCCTCGCCTGAGATAAGGTGTCTCCACTGAGCGCCTGGCCAGAAGAGAGCGACCTATCCAGGGCCCCCGTGATGAAAGCCATGTTGTTTGCCACAGCGACGACCTGTGCCGCATTGGCGTAACATCTGTCGTGCATCGCCAAAGACGTCCTGTCCCGCTCGGAGGGAAGGAGAGGTCTGGTGCCGGGCCACACGGATGCGGAGGGGTGCAGGGCCATGCGGACCGAATCCTCGATGTCCGGGACCCCGCCGGTCCAGGACCAGTCCTGCACGTTGCAGTACATACCGTAGCCCAAAGCGGGCCTCTTGGCCGCTAGGGGCTTTGGCCACTCACGTGTCGCGTAATGGACGATCGGGTCCATCCGCGGGCACAACGTGGGCTGCGTCCTCCTCCTCCCTTGAGGGGTGGCGTAACCCGAGGTGAAGTCCTCCACCTTCTGGGTCGGTTGCGGTGGCAGGGGGGCATCCATGATGGCCGCCGCAGTGGAGTAGAGCCCAGGCATGTGGTCCAGCGGGAAGCGGTCCGGCTCCGGGTTCGACACCACCTCGTCCAGGGTGAGGAGAGAGCCGACCTCCGAGATCTCTCCGTCCTCACAGTCACCCCACTCCGCGGGCACGGGTGGAAGGTCGAGTGGGGCCCAGTCAATCACAGACTCCTCGTCCTGAGAGGAGTCCGGACGGGGCGCTGTAGCGGCGTGGTACGCACGCCTGCGTTCGCTCTCCTCCCTGGGGAGAGCGAGACACGAGGCGCAGGTGGCGCTCAACGCCGCATGGCCCGGGCCCAGGCACCTGAAGCAGCTGGAGTGCTGGTCCGTGCGCTGGAGCCTGACTCGACACGTTGAGCAACGACGACGTCCGACGCCGGATGGCGAAGGGGAACTCGGACGAGCATCAGAAGACATCTTTATTCTCTGGTAAAAATTGAAACTGTGTAGATCTCAATCGGCGCGTGAAAGAGGGGGTGCGGCCTTGTGCAGGGGCATTTATAGAGGAAGGTGGCTGGTGATTGGAGCAAATTATTTTGATCTCTCTGGCGTGTGACCTGGGGGTCACGAGTGATATCCCACTAGCGAAGTCCTAAGGGACGTAGCACCATGACGTAGAACTGGGAAATGTACAAACAATATTATTGCTGCAACTAAAATGGTAATTACAAAAGCTTGGCTTACAACATGTGGATCTTGCTGCTGATATATTATATATATATATATATATAAGACTAAAATTTTTCTGCTCAGATTTCGGGAGCATAGGGACCGGCCTCCTGCTGATCCCAGAGTCAGGACTAAACCTGGGGAATCAGTGTTTCAGTCAGACTTATGCAACTAAAATCTGGAACAGTCTTCCTGATGATGTTCAGTCTCTCTGACAATGTTCACATCCAGGCTAAAAGCAGTTCGTTTTCTGCTTCTTTCGTTGCGTTTCCTTGTGTATGGACTGTGCTATACAAATAAAATTGCTTTTCCAGTGAAGACGTCATAAAACAGATCTGTAGTGACCCTCTGTGGCCACCAGGTGGTGCCCCGCACTCCTCATAGACACCTCAGTGGCCCCGTCCCAATACTCGCACTTCCACCCTCGCGCCCCTCATTTGCGCGTTCCCGATAAAGGGTGCGAGTGCGTAGGGTGTCCCAATTCTCCAGGGAGGTATTTGGCCCCGCCCCCTTTGCGCCCCTGATCCACACTTCGCCGTAGCCTGCATCTATGCGCACTCTGGCGAAGGATATTGCCCATAATTCTTTGCGGTACACACCAAAACGTCGGGAAAATGCATTTAAATATAAATTTTGAAATATATATGCAGTATGTGTGTGAATAAGTTTTGCTATGTTACTTGGAAAGAAGCATAAACGTTTGATGAAGAATTACGGACATTGTGTTTTAACAATTTAATAACTTTTTAAAGCAAGCGTTTATATAACATTCAATTTAAACTTTAGACTTAGTACAATAATCTTAGAATGTATAAAAACTGACCAGATAGTTAGTTACCCACATTTAACTTAAAATTATACATCCATCCATCCATCCATCCATTTTCTACCCTTTAATCCATTTCTGGGTCAGGGGGGTGGCAATCAGAGATGCCACCCAAGTCTCATAGCACCAGCCCCTCACTGACCCTCTGCAGATGGTGAGTCCACAGGAGGACGGCTGCTCTCTGAGTGTGAGCATAGCCTTGATCTTTCAGTGGGGGCTTTTGGGCAAAGTGGGGTTAAGTGTCTTGCCCAAGGACACAACGATAGCAGTCATCAGTGGGAGTCGGTGGAGAAGGTGCAGAGGTGGGAACTGAACCCACGACCTTCAGGCCTGAAGGCCAATGCTCTACCAACTGAGCTACTGTCGCCCTTATATCGCCTAATTATACAGCTATCTCTAATTAAAAACAACTAATATACATGTATTTTAACGTGTGTGAAGCAATTCATTTTGTTTCCCAAAGGGTCAGACAAAGTTACCTTTAATTTCTATAAAGTTTAGGTCTGAAAAAGACCATCTCTTGACGAGTCGATGACGTCACCTGCACTCAGTGTGCACTGTCCCAATTCCGCCTTTTTTGCACACTTGTAACCTGCGCACTCCAACCCTGGTGTGCACTTCGAACAAATGCACACTTCGTAGAAGTGTGTAGGGTGCAGTGTGGGTATTGGGACTGGGCCAGTGTCTCCCACAAACATCCCGCTCGCTTCACCAGCTGTGCGCGCTCCCGACAGCCCAACTAGCCCAGTGCGCGCTCCCGCAGCTGGGGCAGACGCGTGGAGGGAGTTCAGTGTCAGTGAGGAGAGAGCGCGTGGAGGAGCGCGCCGCGTTGGACCGAGGAGCCGACATTACGCACGGGTCTAGGCTTTTACGCGCAGCCGTCCTCGTCCCGGTGTGACTCTTACCGGAGATGAGCGCTCCTTGACGGGCTGCGGAGGAGCGTGGACTCCGCTCCATCAGCGCGAGCTCCAGGGAGAAGTGCTACCCCTCAGGATGTGCGCGGACAGAGTGGATTACATCGCGCCCTGGTGGACCTACTGGCTCCACAACTTCCCCCACATCAACCTAAGACTCCAGCCCGAGGACAGCGCCTTCCGCCCGGAGAGACCCGAGTACCAGCAGGTGAGAGAGAGGGGGAGAGAGGGGAGAGGGGAGATGAGAGACCCGATTACCAGCAAGTGAGAGAGAGAGGGGAGAGGAGAGACCAGGGGACCAGTAGGTCAAGACGAGTGGGGGAGAAGCGGCGTAAACAAAGGCTGTCCCCAGGCTCTGGTGTCATGGGGCACTGGGACATGGAGGAGGAGGGAGAAGTTACGGTCCCCAGCTTTAATACTACTGTACTTTAGTCACTTTGAGTCTGAAAGTTTGACACAGGAATCAGGAGCTGTTTTAATTAGGGGTCCTGGTCTTGGTCTTGGTCCTGATCCTGGTCTTGGCCAATCAGCTCACAGCCCAAAGAGGCAGATAGTGACTGTGAATCAGATGAAGACTCAAGACTCTTTGGACAAACTTCATGTGTTATTTATGAGGCTAAAGTCATGGACCCCAGCTTTAATAATCTACCCATCACTTTCTGAGTGATGTTGCTACAAACAGACAGACCCTGGTGAAGACATCACTGCTCACATTTCACACGACACAGAGAGACATTTTATAATGACAGCGGAATGAGCCGTGGAGCTGTGTTTGGGTGAGTGAAGCTCTCCGTGGTCTCTCTCTCTGGTCTCTCTCTGGTCTCTCTCTGGTCTCTCTCTGGTCTCTCTCTGGTCTCTCTCTCTAGTCTCTCTCTGGTCTCTCTCCCTGGGCTCTCCCTGGACCAGGTCTGAGGTCAAAGAGAGAATCATTAATGTGAAAACAATAGAAGCAGATGTGCAGCCATCTGTCCAGAGTGTGACGGATCAGGTCTAAAGTAGGTCTAAAGCAGGACTAAAACAGGTCTAAAGCAGGTCTAAAGCTAGACTAAGGGCCAGTGTGAGAGGATGTAGAAGGAGCTGGTGGAGGTCAGAACGTGGAAATCCCCAAAACTACATCAGCAAATATTTGTGTTGATCTGCAGCAGCAGTAGTAGTAGTATCTGCAGTAGTAATAGTATCTGCAGTAGTAGTAGTATCTGCAGTAGTAGTAGTATCTGCAGTAGTAGTATCTGCAGTAATAGTAGTATCTCCAGTAGTAGTAGTATCTCCAGTAGTAGTAGTATCTGCAGTAGTAGTAGTATCTGCAGTAGTAGTAGTATCTGCAGTAGTAGTAGTATCTGCAGTAATAGTATCTGCAGTAGTAGTAGTATCTCCAGTAGTAGTATCTCCAGTAGTAGTAGTATCTCCAGTAGTAGTAGTATCTCCAGTAGTAGTATCTCCAGTAGTAGTAGTATCTGCAGTAATAGTATCTGCAGTAGTAGTAATATCGGCAGTAATAGTATCTGCACTAATAGTATCTGCAGTAGTAGTAGTATCTGCAGTAGTAGTAGTAGTAGTAGTATATGCAGTAGTAGTATCTGCAGTAGTAGTAGTATCTGCAGTAGTAGTAGTATCTGTAGTAGTATCTGTAGTAGTATCTGCAGTAGTAGTAGTATCTGCAGTAGAAGTAGTATCTGCAGTAGTAGTAGTATCTGCAGTAGTAGTATCTGCAGTAGTAGTAGTATCTGCAGTAGTATCTGTAGTAGTAGTATCTGCAGTAGTAGTAGTATATGTAGTAGTAGTATCTGCAGTAGTAGTAGTAGTATCTGCAGTAGTAGTAGTATATGCAGTAGTAGTATCTGCAGTAGTAGTAGTATCTGCAGTAGTAGTATCAGCAGTAGTAGTATCTCCAGTGGTTGTAGTATCTGCAGTAGAAGTAGTATCTGCAGTAGTAGTAGTATCTGCAGTAGTATCTGTAGTAGTATCTGCAGTAGTAGTAGTATATGCAGTTGTAGTATCTGCAGTAGTAGTAGTAGTATCTGCAGTAGTAGTAGTATATGTAGTAGTAGTATATGCAGTAGTAGTAGTATCTGTAGTAGTATCTGCAGTAGTAGTAGTATCAGCAGTAGTAGTAGTATCTGCAGTAGTAGTATCTGCAGTAGTAGTATCTCCAGTAGTTGTAGTATCTGCAGTAGTAGTAGTATCTGCAGTAGTAGTATCTGCAGTAATAGTATCTGCAGTAGTAGTAATATCTGCAGTAATGGTATCTGCAGTAGTAGTAGTATCTGCAGTAGTAGTAGTAGTAGTATATGCAGTAGTAGTATCTGCAGTAGTAGTAGTAGTAGTATATGCAGTAGTAGTATCTGCAGTAGTAGTAGTATCTGCAGTAGTAGTATCTGCAGTAGAAGTAGTATCTGCAGTAGTAGTAGTATCTCCAGTAGTAGTAGTATCTGTAATAGTATCTGCAGTAGTAGTATCTGCAGTAGAAGTAGTATCTGCAGTAGTAGTAGTATCTGCAGTAGTAGTAGTATCTGCAGTAGAAGTAGTATCTGCAGTAGTAGTACTTCAGTGCAGTATTCTTAGTCTATTGTCTCAGTGGAATGTGACCATGTGACAGGGTTAAGTCTGTGGGAAAAGTAAAGTTCTGCTGCGTTTACACTGGACCAAAATGTCAATTGTGCCAAAATGTCTTTTATTTTGATAAAACATATATGTTTATAATGTGTATGTCAGCTCAACATCTCTCTGGTCTCTCTCTGGTCTCTCTCTGGTCTCTCTCTGGTCTCTCTCTGGTCTCTCTCTGGTCTCTCTCTGGTCTCTCTCTGGTCTCTCTCTGGTCTCTCTCTGGTCTCTCTCTGGTCTCTCATGGTCTCTCATGGTCTCTCTCTGGTTTCTCTCTGGTCTCTCTCTGGTCTCTCTCTGGTCTCTCTCGGGTCTCTCATGGTCTCTCTCGGGTCTCTCTCGGGTCTCTCATGGTCTCTGGGACAAAATGCCTCAGAAAAAGCCTGGTCTTATGAAACATTAATGGTTACATGGTTCTATTCTTAGCGGCTGTTGTCTCCGTTTAAGTTTCTCTTCTGGTCTGAGCTGTTGATGGTCCATGTTGCAGAATACAGGAAGTGGATATTAAAGCTGGGGGACGTAACTTTCAGACCACAACAACACAACACAAAAGAGTGGACCAGCCTCCCTCGGCCAATCAGCTCTCAGCCCAAAGAGGCAGATAGTGACTCACAGAGACAACATGTTAAGAGGTTGGATCCGAACAGAGCGAGCGGGAAGTGGGTGAGACCGAGAGGAGTCACTCAGGCGCAAGACTGACAGCTCACTGAGACAAGTGGAGCAGAAACATTAGACCAGGACGAGACCAGGATCCAGACAGAGAGACTAGAGAGAGACTAGAGAGAGAGACCAGAGAGAGACCAGAGAGAGACCAGAGAGAGACCAGAGAGAGGCCAGAGAGAGACCAGAGAGAGAGACCAGAGAGAGAGACCAGAGAGAGACCAGAGAGACCAGAGAGAGACACCAGAGAGAGACCAGAGAGAGACCAGAGAGAGACCAGAGAGAGACCAGAGAGAGACCAGAGAGAGGCCAGAGAGAGGCCAGAGAGAGGCCAGAGAGAGCCCAGAGAGAGACCAGAGAGAGACCAGAGAGAGACCAGAGAGAAGCCAGAGAGAGACCAGAGAGAGGCCAGAGAGAGACCAGAGAGAGACCAGAGAGAGGCCAGAGAGAGGCCAGAGAGAGACTAGAGAGAGGCCAGAGAGAGGCCAGAGAGAGGCCAGAGAGAGGCCAGAGAGAGGCCAGAGAGAGGCCAGAGAGAGGCCAGAGAGAGGCCAGAGAGAGGCCAGAGAGAGGCCAGAGAGAGGCCAGAGACTTCTTGACCCACTTGAACACAAACTCCTGTGTAATTTCCTGTGCCTCAAATCAGAGTTTAATTCCTCCTGAATTTAATGTAAACCATGAGATTATTATTGCAGAGAGAAGGATCTAATATCCGGGACATAATCCATGTTTTAGTGTCTGCTTTAGACCTCTCAAGTCCCTGGTTTAGACCTCTCTAGTCCCTGGTTCAGACCTCTCTAGTCTCTGGTTCAGACCTCTCTAGTCCCTGGTTCAGGCCTCTCTAGTCTCTGGTTCAGACCTCTCTAGTCCCTGGTTCAGGCCTCTCTAGTCTCTGGTTCCGACCTCTCTAGTCTCTGGTTCAGAACTCTCTATTCTCTGGTTAGGACCTTTCTGGTCTCTGCTCGGGTGGAGTAGCTGCAGCTCTGATGTTGGGACAGAGCTCTGGGCTCGGATTATTGGACCAAACCAGGTCAGAGTCTGGACCAGGACTGAAGCCTCTAAAAGACTGTGGAGGAGACCAGGGCCTGAGGGCAGGACTGAGAGAGGGGGAGGAGGGGGGAGGGGAGGGAGAAGAGGAGAGAGAGAGAGAGGAGGAAAGGAGATAAGATAGAGGGGGAGGAGAGAGGGATAAAACAGGAAGTACTTTGTGGAGATTGAAAACGGTCCATATGGTCCTGACCGGTGGAGTTCCACAGGGGTTGATCCTGGGACATCTTCTGTTTAGTCTCTACATGCTGCTGTTAATAATAATAATAATAATAATAATAGTATTAATGATAATAATAATAATGCATTGGTTTTATATACAGCGCTTTTCAGGACTGAGACCAGAACCAGAATCAGGACCAGGACCAAGACCAGGACCAGTTATGATTCCAGAGTCCTATGTATCTATGGTGTTGTAGAGTCGTTGTTTTGTTGTGGTCTGAAAGTTACAGCCCCCAGCTTTAACTTCAGAATAAAACTCCACAGACTGAAGCTGTTCTATTTTTAGAGTTTGACCTGGAAAAGCAGAAAGGAAACATGAATATTAAATCTGGAACTATAGAGTTCTGTTTTAGTGTGTTTTAACAGAGATGTGAGATTTGCTCGTTCATCTAAATGGGAAATCAGGTCCTTTTAAACAAAGACTACAGTGAGACGTGAACAATGACAGCTTTTATATTCTCCAAACTTTACTGCAGGTTTCATGATTTATCTTAACAAATCATGATTTGGTAAAATTAAATCTTAAAACTGCTAGTAACAGGATTATAACCTTTACTTAAAGTCACTCTGGTCTCTCTCTGGCCTCTCTCTGGTCTCTCTCTCTGGTCTCTCTCTCTGGTCTCTCTCTCTGGTCTCTCTCTCTGGTCTCTCTCTCTGGTCTCTCTCTAATCTCTCTCTGGTCTCTCTCTCTGGTCTCTCTCTCTGGTCTCTCTCTGGTCTCTTTCTCTGGTCTCTCTCTCTGGTCTCTCTCTGGTCTCTTTCTCTGGTCTCTCTCTCTGGTCTCTCTCTCTGCTCTCTCTCTGGTCTCTCTCTGGACTCTCTCTGGTCTCTCTCTCTGGTCTCTCTCTAATCTCTCTCTGGTCTCTTTCTCTGGTCTCTCTCTGGTCTCTCTCTAATCTCTCTCTGGTCTCTCTCTCTGGTCTCTCTCTCTGGTCTCTCTCTCTGGTCTCTCTCTCTGGTCTCTCTCTGGTCTCTCTGGACTCTCTCTGGTCTCTCTCTCTCTGGTCTCTCTCTGGTCTCTCTCTCTGGTCTCTCTCTGGTCTCTCTCTGGTCTCTCTCTGGTCTCTCTCTGGTCTCTCTCTCTGGTCTCTCTCTTTGTATAACCGGGGGGGTTGTATTGGGGGTGGTGGGAGAGACGGTCCTCATTAGCTGCGGCTCTTTGTGCTTTTGTCTGCTCCTGGGGATTATTCAGACTCCGGAGACGACAACAACAAAACCATCGTGTCCAGAATAAAAGCAGATCCTGACCATGAACCACACACTGGATCTGAGTGTCACCAGAGTGTTGGCCCTAATGCCTAAGGAGCTGATTTTATCTCTCTCTCTGGTCTCTCTCTGGTCTCTCTCTGGTCTCTCTGGTCTCTCTCTGGTCTCTCTCTGGTCTCTCTCTGGTCTCTCTGGTCTCTCTCTGGTCTCTCTCTGGTCTCTCTTCAGTCTCTCTCTTTTCTCTCTCTGGTCTCTCTTCAGTCTCTGTCTGGTCTCTCTCTGGTTTCTCTCTGGTTTCTCTCTGGTTTCTCTCTCTGGTCTCTTTCTCTGGTCTCTGTCTGGTTTCTGTCTGGTCTTATTCTAGTCTCTCTCTCTGGTCTCTCTCTCTGGTCTCTTTCTCTGGTCTCTTTCTCTGGTCTCTGTCTGGTCTCTTTTTTGGCTCTCTCTGGTCTTTCTCTGGTCTTTCTCTGGTCTTTCTATGAGTCTTAAGTGTGACATCAAATAGAACATTTCCAGCTCTCATTAAACCATTATGTCGTGTTAGGGCAGCTGTCAATCATCTAGTCACCGCGGTAACACATCTTCAACAAGAAATAATGATTGTTTATGTTTTTGTTCCTTTGGAAAAAAGTGAAGGACAAAAACATGTTTATCTGAGTCTAAAGCAGGACTGAACCAGGTCTGAACAAGATCTGAACCAGGTCTGAACCAGGACTGAACAAGGTCTCAACCAGGACTTGACAAGATCTGAACCAGGTCTGAACCAGGACTGAACTAGGACAGAACCCAGATGGAAGCAGAACTGAACCAGGTCTAAAGCAGGTCTAGGGCAGGTCTGAAGAAAGACTCAAGAAGGACTAAAACAGGTGTGAAGCAGGACTAAAGCAGGACTGAACTAGGACCAGACTGAACCAGAAGGACGAGGATAACCACTCTCCTCCCACAGTAATGGACATTTACATTATTCAGCTCTTTTCTCTTCACCTGCAGAAGAACAAGGTTTTCACAGGTTTTATCTCCAGAAAGTGGGACAAACAACTGCTGAGGCCTGGCCTGGTTTGGTCTGCGTTATATATGAAGCATTAAAGCTGACTCAAATAAGCTCCATGGGCAGGAATCAGGAGCTATATTTGTGAATTTGTACTAGCAACTTCCTAACAACAGCCAACAAAGAGAGCTGGTCTGTTCCCTCTTGAATTTGTGGACGACTTGTGGTGTCCTTCTGGTCTCTCTCTCTAGTCTCTTTCTGGTCTCTCTCTGGTGTCTCTTTAGTCTCTCTCTGGTCTCTCTCTGGTGTCTCTCTAGTCTCTCTCTGAAATGTCTCCACTGTGAGACTAATAAAGGTTTATCTTAAGCCCAAATGTGACGGTTACTGAGCTAGAGGAGTTTATGTTCACATGTTTGTCAATAGGAGCCAGAGAAAAACTTAACTACTTTGGGCTTCATTGAGCTAGTGGGTTAGCCATGTCCAGTCCAATCCAGCTTATAGATAAAGCACTAATAAAAACAATAAGGTTGACCAAAGTGCTGTACATAAAAGGACACAAAAAATATACAATTAGAAAATACAGTGGCAAAATTCAAAATCAATGAAAGTCAATGAAAACAATCGAGTTTTAAACAAGACTTAAAATCAGGAAGTGACTTAGACAGTCCAAGCCCCGGCGATCCAAGATGGCGCCGTATTCAAATGAATGGTTTGTGCTCAGTGGCGCTTTGTGACGGCATGGGGGCTGAAAGATTAGCGGAAGTCGCCTGAAACTCGCAAAGATCTATGGGAAACTCGCAAAGATCTATGGGAAACTCGCAAAGATCTATGGGAAACTCGCAAAGATCTATGGGAAACTTGCAAAGATCTATGGGAAACTCGCAAAGATCTATGGGAAACTCGCCTGTATTTGGGCATCGTCTGGTCCTCCCGGTTCTGCGCAGTGGATGAACTCCCATGATGCGTTGCACAAATACGCGTGTGTGGGTCTCACGCACGTGCAGAGGGGCTCGGCCGTGCTCTGACCAATCAGAGCTGTTCATCAGAGCGGGAGTTAGAGCGGGAGCCAGACGAAGGATTTAAGAAGAAAAAAAGTTCAGGATGACAAGGGACACTAAAATCCCCACAAAATCCGACCTTTATGAAAGCTGTAGGTTCTCTGTCAGCTGAAGTCGCGCTGTTTTAATTTACATTGAGTCCTATGGGTAAAATTTCTGGGTAGCCCACGTGAATTTAGTCTGGTTTAGTCTGCAGCACTGCGAGAATCCCCCGAGCACATGGTTCTTCAGCGCAAAGCTAGTAATACCCTATCCAGTTATTATAATAGATCCATGAGACAGTCTCACACACAGGGGCAGCTCATTTCATGATCTAGAACCAACAACTGAAAAAGCTCGATCTCCTCTGAGTTTCCGTTTAGTCGGAGGAACCCAGCGCAGAGCCTGATCTGCCGACCTGAGAGAACGTGATGGAGCGTATGACGTCAGTAGGTCAGACAGAGCAAGGCCATTCAGACGTTTATAGACAAACATAAGGATTTTAAAATCAATCCGGTAGCGAACAGGAAGCCAGTGAAGGAATGACAGGACCGGAGAGATATGGTCATACTTCAGAGGTCCTGTTACGTACAGATGCGCCGCAGAGTTCTGTTCCAGCTGCAGACGAGTGAGTGAGGACGGGCTGATCCCTGTGTACAAGGCGTTACAGAAGTCCAGCCGAGTCGTAACTCGTAACAAAGGCGTAATGCAAAATTTCAAAATTTTGCCTTGAAAGGGAGGTCTTTATTTTGGCGACAGTGGCTCAGTTGGTAGATCATTGGCCTTTGAGCCTGAAGGTTGTGGGTTTGAGCCCACCACATGACCTTCTCCACCGACTCCAACTGATTTATGCTTTCGTTGTGTCTTTGGGCAAGTCACTTAACCCCGTCTTTGCCTGAAGCCCCCTGAAAAGCTGAAAAGATCAAGGCTATGCTCACACGTGCAGAGCAGACTCACCACCTGCAGGAGGATCAGTGAGGGGCAGGTGCTCTGTGACTTGGGGTAGAAAGTGGATGGATGAGCCTTAAATGTAAGAAACTGGACTTCACCTCTGCACTAATTTGTTTTTCAATTCACAATCAGCATCCATTTTCACTCCAAGGTCTGAAACAATGGGCTTAAACAATTTTGTTAGTGGTCCCAGGTTCATGGAGCTCGTGCTGCCATTGCTGGGCCCGACCCGCAGAACGTCACTCTTTATTCATTGAAATGTAAAAACACAATCCCTCTGTGTACAGTCTGACACTGCCCCTCTCCCTCAGACCCTGGTGTTCTTCGGCTGCCTCGCTGCTTCCTGCCTTGGCCTGAATCTCCTTCTTTTGGCTGTGTACCTGAGCTGCCTCTGCTGCTGTGGATCTGAAGACCAGGATGAGCAGGAGGACCAGGATGAGAAGAGGCCGAGGAGCTGCTGCGTCACCTGGACCGCTGTGGTGGCCGGACTGCTGACCTGGTGAGGAACCATCTCTCTGGTCTCTCCCTCTGGTCTCTCCCTCTGGTCTCTCCCTCTGGTCTCTCCCTCTGGTCTCTCCCTCTGGTCTCTCCCTCTGGTCTCTCCCTCTGGTCTCTCCCTCTGGTCTCTCTCTCTGGTCTCTGTCTCTGGTCTTTCCCTCTGGTCTTTCTCTCTGGTCTCTCTGTCTCTTGTCTCTCTCTCTCTGGTCTCTCTCTCTGGTCTCTCTCTCTCTGGTCTCTCTCTCTGGTCTCTCTCTCTCTGGTCTCTCTCTCTGGTCTCTCTCTGGTCTCTCCTTATGGCCTCTAATTGATTGCTGGTGACTGTTGTAGAATTATATACCCATGAAGGAGGAAACTCAAAGGTCCTTTGTCTGATCAAAAGCGTAAGTTTATTGTTAGCGCACGTGCGGAGAGCCAGCACATCCACTCCAAGGCAGCATGTCCCAGCTCTGGGGGCCAGAGCCCCGAGCTTCCTGTATACAAGACACACACGAAAGCCAGTCCCGCCCACAACAGATGGGAGGGGGGCCACCGGTGCAGGAGGCGCATAGGGATGCAAACAGACTGCAGGATGTAGAGAGTGCACACATACAGACCGATACATATGCAAGAGGTGAAAGGGGGCAAGAGTGATAGCCATTGTCTGTAGGTGTCGGGGGGGCCCGGCTCCTTCCTGGCAGCAGGGACATATGGATAGGAGCAGGCATACCGATTCAAGATACGAAAGACACAAGGGTGTGACAGACAGCAGGGGGCCCTCACAAAGCTCAGCATGGCGTCAGAAGGGCGTCTCTGCATTGATAAAAGGCCTTTGACGTCCGTGTATTTGCTGCGGCTGGTTTTATGTAATTACTCCAAAAACTGTCACCACACTCCCCTCTTTTGATAATTCAAAACCATTTTTGCATTAATCAGTTAAATACCAGAGGCATCGTAATCACACCACCTTCAAGCTTGAAACACTTAAATTATTGCTGTCCAAAGTGGACAAGAAAAGAAACATGCTTGTCAATAAAAGAAAGAGCACATTATAATAACACAATGGATCCGGACAGCGATAAGAGAAGACAATATTAACATAATAAACACGGTCAGCACGGAAAGTAGTGTCAGTGTGGCCAGCATAACAGTCCAAGGGCCCATGCCGGTCTTAGCCGGGCTACGTTCGGTAGTCTTTTCCGCGGGAATACTCACGAGCAGTGCCGTCTCGCAGTCAGTGGCACCGCTCCCTATGAGCGTGTGTGGAGCGTTAGTGGCCATGGCGATGTTTGGTCTTGGAGCGGCAAGACTCTAATTGCGTTGAAGCCTTGGCCTCAGCACTCGGTTGGGCAGAGTGCTCGGGGTTTGGGGTGTGGAGACCATGGCTTGAGCACGCTCCAGATCGGCCAGGCCCAAAGCTCGTTTGATGGGAGACCTCATGACAGCACGCTTCACCATGTGCCTCATCAGGAACTGTAGAGCAGCCCTCATCTCCACCTCCTCCGGACACACGGGAGACGAGACACCAGGGGGCACTCCAGCAGAGCTCAAATCTGCATTATGGCCAGAGGGAGCAAGCTCTGGAGAAATCTTTGGAATGGGCAGCAGCTCTGCATACTTGCTGCAGCTGAGCAGAGCGCTCAGGGCCTTCATGGCTCCCAAGCCTTGGGATCCGGGGGCTGGGGAGTTGGGCAGAAGGGGGGTCGCCTCGGGAACGCTGGGATTCTCTGGGTGTTGTTGTTGGCCTGCTTCACCGACGGTGGCCGCACGCGGGCCAACTTCTTCAGCGTAGGGAGCCGCGGATGGGCCTGGTCCGTCCGCGCCCTCGGTGTCCTCGTCTATGGCCCTCAGTGGCAGCCCCGCACGACAGTGGTTGGCGTGGATCCAAGTTGTCCTCTCCGCGACCTTAACGGCAGTGTCCGTCACCAGGAGGGCGAGGAATGGGCCGAGCCAGCGCTTGGACCGCCAGTGCTTTCGTCTCGTTTCCTTCACCAGGACCCAGTCGCCTGCGCAGCCTGTGGCAGGGCGCTCCTGACCTGGGCAGAAATAGAGGACAAAAGTGCATTAATTTCCTACAATAGGACAGCATGTCGTCATCACACAAAGAGGTGCTTGGCAGATCTCTGTTCGGGGGTCCCGCGCCCAACGTGGGGCTAGCGGCAGAGCTTTGAGTGCCATTCTCTCGCTCGCCACGTGCCTCGGACCAGGGGGCGCATAGGGATGCAAACAGACTGCAGGATGTAGAGAGGCACACATACAGACCGATACATATGCAAGAGGTGAAAGGGGGCAAGAGTGATAGCCATTGTCTGTAGGTGTCGGGGGGGCCCGGCTCCTTCCTGGCAGCAGGGACATATGGATAGGAGCAGGCATACCGATTCAAGATACGAAAGACACAAGGGTGTGACAGACAGCAGGGGCCCTCACAAAGCTCAGCATGGCGTCAGAAGGGCGTCTCTGCATTGATAAAAGGCCTTTGACGTCCGTGTATTTGCTGCGGCTGGTTTTTATGTAATTACTCCAAAAACTGTCACCACACCGTCAACATGTCCATATATTAAATTAAAAGTGTTAGTGATGTCACTGGTTTAGACAGAGTTCATACAGATCCACTGCTCGCCCTCAGACACAGACCTGCAGCTGTGTTTCCCTCCGTCCATGCTCGCTTGAGGGTTTCTATGAGATTATGAATGAAGCACACACTGCCCCCACTCACTGTGAAGTTAAGGTGAGGCAGTCCAGGAAATTAAAACAACTGGTGACTTTTTGCCAGAGAGAGACCAGAGGAAGGTTAGAGAAAGACCAGAGCGAGACCAGAGAGAGACCAGAGCGAGAACAGAGAAAGACCAGAAAGAGAGACCAGAGCTTTCAGACAGAGGGCATAGCTACATGTCTGTGTCTGATCTTCCTGACGTTAGCATGGAGAGATCTAAACACAGCTGAAGGCGTGTGACTGTTGAGGACTGACCTTGTGTCTTTTGTCCCTGCAGTGTCGCCGTAGCCGTGGGTTTCTACGGTAACAGCGAGACCAACGATGGCGTGTACCAGGTGACCTACTCCATGTACAACGCCAACCACACGCTGGGAGGAGTGCAGAGCCTGGTACGGACTATACTCAGAGACATCAACGTCAAAGCTGAGAACGAGACTTTAAAGCTGAGGACGAGACTTTAAAGCTGAGGACGAGACTTTCAAACCACAACAACAGAACTCTGTATTAAACTCCATGTCGTTTGTTCTGGTGCTAAAAGATATACAGTATGTACTATTGGTCTTGGTTCTGGTCCTGGTCTTTGTTGTCTTGGTCTTGGTCGGCTTGGTCCTGCTCTTGTTACTGTCTTGGTCTTGATCTTGGTCATCTAGGTCTTGGTCTTGATCCTGGTCCTGGTTTTGGTCCTGGTTTTGGTCCTGACCCTGGTCCTGGTTTTGGTCCTGGTTTTGGTCTTGGTCCTGGTCCTGGTTTTGGTCCTGGTCCGAGTTTTGGCCCTGGTCCGGGTTTTGGTCCTGGTCCTGGCCCTGGTCCTGGTCCTGGCCCTGGTCTTGGTTTTGGTCCCGGTCCTTCTGTCACGTCTTCAGATCAGTTTTTTTCAGACAGAAAAGTGAGACTGAGAGGACCACCCTCACTCGGCCAATCAGCTCTCAGACTGCAGGTTGAGTCTGATTTGTTCACAACGTTTTACAAGACGTGATGTCAGAGTTGTGTTGCTGAGGTCCTAAAGTTACATACCCCAGCTTTAAGGTCACGTCCTCTTGTTGCGGCTCATGTGCAGCAGGTCTATGGGGTTCTGTGATCAGGGTGAGAGCAGATGGACAGGATTATCACACTCATGGTTTCATCGCCATTAACTCATTGTGTCCCATTGACGCATTAATCCGTCAAATGCCTATTTCGCTATTTTCATGTTTCCAGATGTCTATTGTATCTAATATGTATGGGGATGACTTGAGACCATATTTTATCGAGCCAGCAGGTGGCAGCATTGCTCTCTGAATGGTTTGAAAACATGTAGGTGCACATGTTGTGCCTCTTTTTTCTCAACTTTTTGGTGATTTCTGGTGATTTCAGTAAAACTTCCCTCTACTCAACGGAGGATTACAGGGGAACGAAAAAAGCTATAAACAAAATTCTTTTTGCTGAGGAAAGTAGACAGTCCATTCTTTTAGGATCGGGTGTCGGATTTCAGATAGTCATAGTACACAATATATTGTGGGTCTTGAAAAATCAGTAAAAATCATCATAAATGGCTGGCACTGTGGGAGTACCTGTTCTGAAATAGGCTGGCATTCAATGAGTTAAGGCAGAGACGTCGCATGAACCGCGCATTTGGAGAGAAAATCAAACCACTTTAGAGCTGCTGAGATGGTTCTGGCCCTGCTGTAGTTTTAATCCATCTTTAGACCTGCGTAAGATCTGCGTAAGACCTGCGTAAGACCTGCTCTAGACCTGCTCTAGACCTGCTTTAGACCTGCTTTAGACCTGCTTTAGACCTGCTTTAGACTTGCATTAGTCCTGCGTTAGACCTACTTTAGACCTACTTTAGACCTACTTTAGACCTGCTTTAGACCTGCTTTAGTCCTGCTTCAGACCTGCTCTAGATCTGCGTTAGTCCTGCTTTAGTCCTGATTTAGTCCTGATTTAGACTTGCTTTGGACCTGTTTCAGACCTGCTGTAGTCCTGCTTTATTTTTATTTTTTTTAAACTGCTTCTACTACTAGTTTTGAGTTTATTATTGCTACAGAACAGATCCTCTCTTGATCAAAACACATTATTTCACATTGATCCGAGTTTGAACACAGCGTTTAGACAGAAGGGACGGGGGGAGCTGAACAAAGCCGCATTGTTATTTTCATAGTTTGAATAACTTGGAACAAGAAGGAGAGAGAGGAAGAAAAGCAACTTTATTGTAACTGTCTTTAACAACAGAAACCTGTCGTCTCTTTTCTTCAACCAGTTTTTTATTTCATCAGTGTCACATGTTCAGAATAAGCGGACGATAGCAGAATTGTGTCTTCTGAGCTGAACAAAAATGGCAGAAGGAGCAGAGACCACAGAATAGCCGACATCAGCGCTCAGGCCGATTCGCTCCGGGAGGCCAGCCCAGGTCCTCTGCTCCCCAGGAACGGCCTTTGTCTGCTGGGCTGAAGCGGGAGCAGAGCTGGGGCTCAGCGGAACACTGCGCCTTTGTGTTAAAATAGACTTCAGCTAAAAGAAGTCTGAGGCGATCAAAAGAGGAGAGAGAAGAGACGAGTTCACACGACTGAGCCAGGACTAAAGCTGGTCTAAAGTAGGACCAAAGCTGGTCTAAAGTAGGACTAAAGCTGGTCTAAAGTAGGACTAAAGCTGGTCTAAAGTAGGACTAAAGCTGGTCTAAAGTAGGACTAAAGCTGGTCTAAAGTAGGACTAAAGCTGGTCTAAAGTAGGACTAAAGCAGGTCTAAAGCTGGTCTATGGCAGGACTAGAGCAGGTCTAAAGTAGATGTGTGTGTGTGGGAGCGTGCATGCATGCGTGCGTGTGTGTGTGTGGGAGCGTGCGTGGGTGCGTGTGTGTGTGTGTGTGGGTGCGTGTGTGTGCGTGTGTGTGTGTGTATGTGTGTGCGTGTGTGTGCGTGTGTGTGTGTGTATGTGTGTGCGTGTGCGTGGGTGTGTGTGTGTGCGTGTGTGTGTGTGTGCGTGTGTGTGTGTGTATGTGTGTGCGTGTGCGTGGGTGTGCGTGGGTGTGTGTGCGTGTGTGTGACAAACAGAGGATAATCTAATGCAGCATGTGACAGCAGAGGATCTGAGTCACAGTGATGCTTCGCTGCAGAAGGAAACTCAGCTTTATCTCAAAAACAAGATTAACTTTGACTTTTCAGGTTTTAGACATTTGGAACGAGTGAGACTTTGACAGAACATAGAACACCAGCAAGACCCGAGGGAGAGAGACTAAAGAGAGACCCAGGAGAGACCAAAAAGAGAAACCCAGGAGATATCAGATTGTGACTAGAGAAACCAGAGAGAAACCTTTAGGAGAAAATAATAAGACCATAGTTGGATAAAATGAAAAGATAAATGTTGTCTCTCTGTTTTTCTCAGGGTCTTAAATCAGTTCTCAATCAGGTCTAAACCAGGAATACAGCAGGTCTAAAGCAGGTCTAAACCAGGACTACAGCAGGTCTAAAGCAGGTCTAAACCAGGACTACAGCAGGTCTAAAGCAGGTCTAAACCAGGACTACAGCCGGTCTAAATCATCACTAAAGCAGGTCTAAATTAGGACTAAAGCAGGTCTATATCAGGTGTAAACCAAAGCAAGTCTAAAGCAGGTCCAAAGCAGGTCTAAAACAGGTCTACACCTCCTTTCTCTTCAGATTGTGTAGCGTGAGGATTCCCACGGTGCCTCATCCACAGAGTCCCAGAGCTTTTCACACGTCTGTCGCTCAAAGTTCAGAGAAGAAACAGACTGAAAGGATGTGTGTGTGTCTGTATTTGTGTGTGTGCCTTTTTGAGCGTGTGCCTTTATGTGTGTGTGTGTGTGCCTGTGTATGTGTGTGTGTGTGTGTGCCTATTTGAGCGTGTGTGTCTGTATTATTGTGTGAGTGTGAGTGAGTGAGTGAGTGTGTGAGTGTGCGTCATGCTTTTCCACATAATCTGCCTTTTGTGGCCCTGCAGAGTCAGGATCTTGTTTGTCGTACGTGTTTTGGTTTTTCTCTAAAACAGTTGCTTCCATCTTCAGTTGTATTTCTTTAGATCATCTCTATCTCTCTATCAGCTCTAAGAATATAAAATATATAATGTTTTCTAATAAGATAAAGACAGAAACAAAAATGTTACTAAAACAAGTTCTTTCTGCCTTCTATAATGCACATCATGATGACAGACATTTTCTGCCTCATCTTTACCAGAGCAGGATAAATAAAGGTACTAACCCAATTGTTGGGTTTAGGTTTCAGGGCTGTAGCTTTGACCTCTGCCCGGTGCAAACTCTAGTCTGCTTCAGGAAACAGGTTTGTAGCATATTTAATATGTTATTACTCAGGTGTGAAACATAATGTTGAAGGCCTTTATATTGGAGGATCTTGGAGTGACGTCATTGTTTATAGTTTTTCCGCGCTGGTCACGTGACCGGGTGGCAAAACAGCATAGAAAGCTACCTGGATGCTAGAGAGTTAGCTAGTTTTAGACGTTTGGAGAGAGCTTTTACTAAATCAAATGGTCCATTCTTGTTGTGTGGTCGGTTCTACAGCCTGCTGAGGCCCGATAATGTTTTTTTTTCTAATTCCTTCAGAAAAGAACAGCAAAAAAGGCTGCGTTAAAGCGGTCCGCACATTAAAAGCGGGTTGCCCTTTTATGCTGTTACCTACAGTAAACGTAGAAAGTGAAGCTTACCCCTCCACGTTTACAGTATGTAACAGCGTAAAGAGGCAAGCCGCTTTTAATGTGCGGGCCACTTTACCGCGGTGAAAAACGCAAGAAATGGTCTTTCACCACAGACCTTTCTTGTGTGAAGGGTCCGGGGTTTTCTATGAAGTAAAAATAAATGAGACAGAGGTGAGTCTGACCAATGTTTTTCTCGTCAACCCAGGTCTCATATGGGCTTTGATTTTGTTCAGTTCGGTCTCATATACTTATTTTTGGCTTGTCTTTATATCTCCTCTGATCTTCCTGCGTTAAAGTACTTATATACTAATATCCATTAGCATTAACTGTTCTGCAGGTGGCCGTTAGCCTTAGCATTACTGCTGACTGTTCTTCTGTTGATGCTAGCATTAGCATTAGCGGCGACAGTTCTCCTGGTGGCGTGTTTCTCCCAGACTTAAGCCTAGTGTACACTCGCGCGGCGCTGGCTGCGGTTGCGCTGGACCTACGTAGCCACAGTTGCTCGTACACTCACCCGTTCCCCTTGCGGAGTTTTGAAGATAATGTTGTAATCCCACACCCAACCACATGATGGCGATCTCACAGGAGTTGGCTGAGAAACCAAAGCAGTCCCATTTATGCTAGCTACTTTCTCCTCTTCAGAACAAAAACATTAGCAAACCGAGCTGTTTGAGATCATTACATGTGATTCTACTGTAGGTTTATGTGATAGTTCTATGGACTCATTATTTCATCATCATCATCATCATTTCAAACAAAGACAGGAACAGTGCAAAAGGAACGACTGCACGGTTTATAAGTTGGATATGCAACAGAACTGAACAGTCCAGTCTCCGTGTATATCAGGTTCTGAGCCATGAACCCAAACTTATTTTCCTTCAGTACCTTTGAAGCACGAAGCTATCTGGTCCGAAGTGCCTTGTCCATGCTCCCTGCAGCCACTCCATCCAAACACACACGGACAAATCACAGCGGAGCTTCTCTGCGGCGGCTGCGTAGTTAGAAATTTTCGAGGGTGCGCGTAAGGATCTTACGGTGATCCTTGCGTTGTGCGCAAGTGACGTCACCACCGTCGGGCAAGTACCATTTATATTTTGCTTTCCCAACGTTAAAAGCCAAAAAAGTTTGGCAAAAAAGTGGCACTAACTGTGTGGAAAAAAATGTTGTCAAAGTGGCTGTCACAAAGCGGCCGCAGCTGAGAACGGAGGATGTAAATCCCGTTCGAGTACGTACAGCAAACAACAGGAAGTTCCCGCGGTCACACATTTCACAGAAATTACATTGAAAGCGGAAAAAAGTCAGGAATTACGGATCCGTGGAAAATTTTGAAGAGAATTGGTCAAAAAAGATAAACAAACGTGTCCGCTCCCGGCTCCAAAGGAAGAAATGCAGGAATGCGTTCCCGGCCTGAAAGTAATACTTCACTTGCCCGATCGGGCAACTCGCTAAAACAGCGCACTTCCCCGTCCCAAATCCTTAGTTGCCCCGGGCAACCGGACAACTGTTAATGTCGAGCCCTGCAGGATGGTCCAAAGGTTGGCTCATTTAAATTATCTTAGTGATGCACGGTTGCTTTGTGCTGACAGTAACACCATCTATGTCTGTTTCTGTTAATTCAAGTTAGCCCTGTGTTATCTATCGGTACATTACTCTGTAAGCCCCGAAAGTCTTTTATTAGTAACTTTTATTAGTAACTTTTAAGCAACTTTTAAGCAACTTTTAAGCAACTTTTGTTAAAGTTAAACTCATCATTCTATCAATGTGCAGAAGCCAGTACTTTTCCCTTGTTTTGTCTATCTGAAGGCCAAGCTACATGGCACCGTGGCAGCTGCTGATTGGAGGTCTCCATGCCTCCGCTCTGTATAATACACTTGCATTCTCTTGTATCTGTGTTCGTGTTGTTCGTGCTGTCTCTACCATCGACAATAAAACATGTCTTCTGTCTGAATTTATGACACGATCCCAGACTTTGTCATCTTCTTCAGTAATAAGTCCATTTTTGCATCCTGTTTGTGCACACGTTATGAAATAAATATGCTGATGGATTGATTGATCTGTGACAAATAAATAAGATGTCTTGAGTGTTTGTGAAAGCATTGGCCACTTTGATTTTGGGCTTCATTGAGCTAGCAGGTTAGCATTGTCCATCTGTGTATAGGCTATGGTTTAATAAAATCTTATACTATTAGCATCTGTGCTCTATAATTTGTAAAGTTGTATTTGTCCTATACTATTCAAGTTTGTGTGGCTCTTTAGTTATTACATTTTAATCAAAGTTTAAATCTGAAGTCCCCCCCGCCCCTTCTCTCTAAAATCTCTGTTTTATGAGAAGAATATGGTTTTAAACTGGTTTTTCACCCTTCCATCACAGCACTGGTTTATATGAGTCTTGTGCAACTTTTGACGAGGATAGTGGTCTGGTACCACTGCTGCTTTGTGTCGTGTGTGGCCTCCTACAGGTCACTCTCTCTCTCAAGTCTCTCTCCCTCGCTCTAGTCTCTCTCTGGTCTCTCCCTGGTCTCTGTAGTCTATATTTGAGCTCTCACTTACGAGATCTCTTGTCATTCTCACTGGTAACACTCTCTTTCTTCGTGGTGTCCCCTGCCAGTCTCTCTCTCTGGTCTCTCTCAGATCTCTTCCTATCGTTTCTCTCACTGGTATCTCTATAGTTTCTCTCTGGTAAATCTCTCTCTCTTGTGTCGCCCCCTGCAGGTCACCAGCACCATGGCGTCCCTGCGCTCCGGTCTCCAGCAGCGTCTGGAGCGCCTGGATGAAATCTTCTCCACCAGAGGAGACTTTGTGCAGTCTCTGAAGTTCATGCAACAGATGACCGACTCTGTGGTCAGACAGCTGCTAGGACTGCCGGACTGGGCCAGAGCCGAGATGGACCTAAGCGAGGTGGCTCAGAGAGCGGCCAGTGCAGAGTACTACAGGTAATACTACTACTACAGGTAATACTACTACTGCTACAAGTAATACTAATGCTACTCCTACATAATACCACTACTACAGAAAATACGTCTACTGCTACATAATACTGATACTGCTACTACAGGAAATACTGCTATTGCTACATCTAACATTTCTGCTGCTTTTGCATGTAAGACTTCTGCTGCTGCTGCTGCTACTGCTAACGGGCAGACATGTTACTGATGTTACTGATTTGATGTGCCTTTTAAAATGTGGGTCCATTATTTCTCCTACAATTCTGACGGTAATTGTAGTTTTTAGGGCGAGAGGCTGGACCTCAGGGCAGCATGAATAGAAGAGGTCCCAGGTCTGACCCCTGTGGCGCCTTGGATTTATTCAAAGCCGCGGAAAAGCATGGAACGTTAATGTAACGGTCCAATTCTCTCATTCCTCCAGCAGCAGTGAGTCATTGCTAAGATTAGAGAAACATAATGAAAAGTGCATGTCGTGCTCATGTGGGACGTTCATTATAAAAACATGCAACAAATGACGGTGCATTTAACATGCGCCTGAATGAGATCATGTCCTCGCTTCAGTCAGCTGCCTTTCATCACGTGTTTACCTCGTTACATCATGGTTCAAGTGTGACGTGAACCTGTGGAAAGCACTTAATAAACATAATGATTTGATTTATTTAGCGACTCTTCATTATTATTATAATGAAATTCAGGTACACTGCTTTGTGTGACATGGTCTGTGACATGCACTATATCAATAAAGATGACTTTGTTGTGGTCGTTTGAATATAATTCCTCTTGGAGCTACTCTAAACGCTGTTTTTGCAGGTGGCTGAGTTACCTGCTGCTGCTGATCCTGGACCTGCTCCTCTGTCTTCTGTCCTGTCTGGGTTTGGCAAAACAGTCACGCTGGCTCCTCACCACGTAAGACAGTCGCACTATTATCATATTATTATCACTGTAGGTCCAATATGCACTGTGCCAGTTAAATAAATACACCCAATACTTGTTTTTAATGATGACAAATTATTAAAACAATAATAATTAAACACAATCTTCTAAACCAGGGGTGGCCAACCAGTCAGAGACTAAGAGCCAATTTTTTTTACCGTGTTAAGCAAAGAGCCACATCATACAAATGTGCACTACATAAACATCACCCCAACCCTTACACACGCACACGAACAGACACGCTCTCTCACACAAACACACACACACACACACACACACGCACGCTCACGCACACGAGCAGACACGCGCACACACACACACACACGCTCTCACACACACACACACACACACACACACACACACACACAAACACATGCAATCTGTCTGAGCAGAGAGAGGTGTGCTCTGCTCAGACAGATTTATTGTAAATGTCATCAACATGATAATGACAGAAATTGACTCGTACAGCACTAAATGGCTGGACTGAACTCTCCCCGGTTTGCGGGCGCTTCTACCGCTCGCTTCAGCCGCTCCCCGGTACTTTTTATTATGGTTTGGCCCTGGTTCTAACCGGGCGAGTCGATACCAGAACAATCTCACGTCAGCGAACATCAATTATGATTCCGAAATGAACGCTTTCAATCTCTAACCAAGAAAAAAAATCAAGTTTCAACCCAGTGTTCAGCAGAAACACAACTGTCTTTATTGAACCATGATTCACTCTGACTGCGTTTAGTAAAAGATATAGATTTGACACATAACACCAACACCACTTTAGCTGATTTAGAACCAGACACATGTTCAGTATAAGACCAGATACTTTTGCATTTGATTGAAGACAGACACTCACCAGGCAGGCTTATCTCCTGGTGTAGCTGGTGCTAGCTGGTTTTAGCATGTTAGCCGGTGTTAGCCGATGTCCGTAAATTTAATCCATTTGGTCAAACCACCTCCAGACTTTTCGGGTCTGCCTCTACTTCTGCTGCTGTAATCTTTCATTTCACGGTTGTCACTTTTAAGCTTTTTAACTTTTCTCTGCATTGTCATGTTTGTGGGAATCATTCTGCTCCGTCCTTAGCGCTAGCTCCACAAACAGCTGGTTTCTGGTGGAACCATCGAGCTCACGCTGGTGTCCTCTCCTCAAACTGAGGAAGGTGTTGCCCTCATCCAGCGACCAAGGAACTGTTTTCCGTACGGACGTCATGGGTCGAGGCAACGTGTTGTTTGTTATGATATTTGCAACAACTGAGGCAGCGGCTGCAGAGTGATTGACAGCGCATCTGGCCAATCAGAATTGACGTTCGCCGACGTCAGATTGTTTTGGCGGCCCGGCTAGTGGAGTGAAGTCGGCCTTTACTATGGGTCAGAACTACATAGGGAATGAATGGCAGCACCACCACCGAGGCGTTTTTGACGCTTGTCATGTGAAAGCCCGAGAGCCGCACGGAACAAGCCAAAGAGCCGCATGCGGCTCACGAGCCGCGGGTTGGCCACCCCTGTTCTAAACTGTGATTTTTCATGTTATGTGTTGTCGCCCTCGTGTGGTCAGTCAGTGAAACACAATGCCTTAAGCTCTCACATCTGTGTCTGTGGTTTCGTTGTTGTTGCTGTTAAGTCTGGTGCAGAACATATCTGTCTTCAAGCTTCATGTCTCTGTACATTGTCCCTTCAAATAAAGACTAAACTAAACTAAGTCGCACAGCTAACCCTAACCCTAAGTGCGAACATAGTCTTGTCTCCTAATGAGTTTGTCTAATGTCAATTGCACCTTTTTTCTGGCCTCTCTCGCTCTGGTCTCTTCCTCTTGCATCTCAGGTCTCCCCCTGGTCTCTCTTTGGTCTTTCCCTGATCTCTCTCCTGTCTCCCTCCCTGGTCCCTCCCTGGTCTCTCTCTGGTCTCTCTCTGGTCTCTCTTTGGTCTCTCTCTGTTGTCTCTCTGGACTCTCCTGTTCAGTCTCCTCCTGGTGTGAGCCTCACCTGTGCTGGTGTCTGCAGGATGATGGTCTGTGGAGTCCTTGCCCTGATCTTGAGCTGGGCATCTCTCGGAGCAGATCTGGCAACTGCAGTGGTAAGAAAATTTGAATGTTTCTTTTTTGTTTTTTTTTGGACAGTAGTTACATTGAACAGAGAAGATGCCTTTAGTGTTATAGTGTATAGATCATTTCAACACATTAGCACAGACACGCACATGCTTACAATGTAAACAAATACAATTAATCACATTTACATTTCATTAAACATGAGACATGAGTTTAAGACTTAAAGGTCCCATATTTCACCCTTCTTCGTGTTTCACAGTCCATCCTCAGCACATGTGTGATAATAATTTGGGTGATACACCATACGAACCTGTGAAATTATAGCCATTTCTTGCATAGAAGTGTTGTCACCTACATTGAAACAAGTGGATCTCTCCTCCTTCCCCTGTGAGCCGGCCCCCATGACGACAAATATATGACGTGAAAGCTAACTCTTTAGCTTTCGTTGGGAATAAACTTATGTATGGTGACCCCAGTCTCTGTGTGGAGTGGGAGCCAACAATTGTAAAGATCTTTGTGACTCTGGTCTGTGAAAGGCTTCAGGAGACACAAGCCTAGTCACATATAGCCCTATAATAATCATTATACTATAATACCATAATTATTCAGTTAATAGAGGGATATGGCGAGTTAGTAGCACTGTACTTACAGATCCTTGTCAGCAACGAGGAGCATAGTAACTGCATTTCTGAAACAGTCTTTGGTGAAAAACAGATAAAGCGGGCATTTCAGAGTCAGATCCTGTGATTAAAGTCCAGCTTTGTTGTGTGTGACCATTGAAAGACCATTGAGAGGCCAGAGACAAGAGAGAGGCCAGAGGGAGACCATATGATGTTGTTCGAGTATAAATGCGGTGCATGAGAAGCATGCCTTATAAAGGGTGTAATAAAAACATGTGTTGGTGTTTATGTGTGTTTTCTGGCTGCATTTGTTTGTGCGTGCATGTTTGTGTGGTGTGTGTGTGTGTGTGTGTGTGTGTGTGTGTGTGTTTGTATGTTTCCAGGGCACCAGTGACTTCTGTGTGGCCCCTGACCAGTTCCTCATGAGTCAGACTCAGGGCATCGTCGGAGGTGGTAAGAGCTTCACTAAAACCAGCCGCTGCTTTTGCCTAATGTTCTCATGCTAACAGGCTAGGCTAATAGGAGCTAACCATGCATCTATTTATTTTATTTATTTATTTATTTATTGATTTGATAGGAACAAGTGTACACAATCAACATGTGGAACACTACAACATTTATAGCCAAGGCTAGTTTGCAATGTCCGTCCCTAGGAGGGTTTTTAAGGGCTTTTATAACTCAACAAAAATATAAACGCAACACTTTTGTATTTGCTGCCATTTTCCATGAAATGGACTTAAAGATGTAAAATTCCAGATGCACATTTCAGAGTGTCCTTTTATTGTGGACAGTCTAAGGCACACCTGTGCACTAATCCTGATGTCAGATCAGCATCTTGGTGTGGCACACCTGTGAGGTGGGATGGTTTATCTCAGCAAAAAAGAAGTGCTCATTATCACACATTTAGACAGATTTGTGAACAATGTTTAAGAGAAATGGTAATATTGTGTATCTGGAATGATTTTTAGATCTTTAAGTCCATCTCATGGAAAATGGGAGCAAAAACCAAAGTGTTGCATTTATATATTTTTTGAGTGTATTATAATAAATGAATAGGGTATCACTAGCTTATAGCTGGGACTTTTTTTCTTGTTAAATCCATCAGTTTTCTTTAATACCGGGAGGACCAAAGCCATGACCAATTATGGAAACGTTATGCTAATATTTCGGTGAATATGGTGGGGCCATGTGCCACTGAGCACAAGCCACTGATTTGAATAGATCGCAAACTTAGATCACCGGGGCTTGTAGCTAACAGGCTAAGCTAAATGGTGCTAACAGGCTAGACTAATTAGCTAAAAGGCTCGTCTAACTGGAGCTAACAGGCTAGGCTGATGGGAGCTAACAGCCTAGGCTTAGGGGAGACGAACCAGAGATAGTTCCTTGCCCAAACAGTCAAATAGTGGCTCACAGGGGTCTTTCCTACATAAATGGTAACATGTGTTCAAATAACAAAATATTTTACTTTAAGACTAAAGTTCCAGACCCTAGCTTTAAACGTGTGTTTTTATGAGACTAAAGTTACAGACGTCAGCTTTAAGTATGTACCAATAGTAACGTATATACTCTTGTTTTCAGATATCGTCCACTATTACCTCTACTGCAACCAGACGCTGACCAACCCTTTCCAGCAGGTGAGTCTTCTCACACTGGATGTTACGTGTTTTGGTTTATGATCCAGATTCTGCCTCTGGTCAAAAACTATTTACTTTTTTTACATTCTAGAACACAGATAATGTATAATACAGTATACTGTCTTTAAGTTTTGATCAGGAAAGTGTGTGTGTGTGTGTGGTTGACCTCGATTTGACTTGGACAAAAGAGCTGCGCATTCAGGATTTTCTGCCTTTCTTCCTCCATCTCTGTCAAAGCTTCTGAAGACAGGGCCTTCTCTGTGGTTTTAAACCCAGAGCACAGGGCCTTCTCTGTGGTTTTAAACCCAGAGCACAGGGCCTTCTCTGTGGTTTTAAACCCAGAGCACAGGGCCTTCTCTGTGGTTTTAAACCCAGAGCACAGGGCCTTCTCTGTGGTTTTAAACCCAGAGCACAGGGCCTTCTCTGTGGTTTTAAACCCAGAGCACAGGGCCTTCTCTGTGGTTTTAAACCCAGAGCACAGGGCCTTCTCTTTGGTCTTAAACCCAGAGCACAGGGTCTTCTCTGTGGTTTTAGACCCTGAGAGACAGGACCTTAAACAGGGCGGCACGGTGGCTGAGTGGATAGCACTCTCGCCTCTCAGCAAGAAGGTCCTGGGTTCGAATCCCGGTCGGACCAGGGCCTTTCTGAGTGGAGTTTGCATGTTCTCCCTGTGTCTGCGTAGGTTTCCTCCGGGTACTCCGGTTTCCCCTACCACTAAAAACATGTCCAATAGTTCTAGCATGCGCCTCCTGTACTGGCCCTGCTCCCATCTCTGAGTGGAGTGAGAGACTAATGCCCAAAATTAACAATTGTAAACCGCTTTGAGACTCAGATCTGCAGTGAAAAGGCGGTATATAAATAAAAACTTACTAACTTACTACTTACTTAAACCCTTTGATCAGAAGAGGGGAACCTGCGATATTGTGTGAATGTGTCTGATCCGTCTCTAAACAGTGTTGTTGATGTGTCTCTGCAGCCGCTGGCGATCTTCCAGAGGTCCATGACCACGATGCAGATGCAGATCCAGGGAATGCTCCAGTTCGCTGTCCCCCTGTTCCCCACCGCAGAGGTACACAACGAGAGAGAGACCCCAAAGAGACCACAGCGAGACCACAGCGAGACCACAGAGAGACCACAGAGAGACCACAGAGAGACCACAGAGAGACCACAGAGAGACCACAGAGAGACCACAGAGAGACCACAGAGAGACCACAGAGAGACCACAGAGAGACCACAGAGAGACAGACTTAAGAGTGACCAAAGAGGACGTGCTGACGTCACATGAATGCAAACCTTTAACATTGTGATTATTTTAAGAAGGTAAATTCAGGCTCAGCCTATTAACTTTCTATTTGTTTCATGTGTGTGTCTGCAGAGAGACCTGTTAGGGATCCAAAAGGTCCTGAATTCGTCTGAATCCAGTCTGCACCAGCTCACAGCTCTGTTGGACTGTCGGGGTCTCAACAAGGTACCGCCCTGTCCTTTAGCTCTAACCACAGCATTCAGAGTCTGAGGCTGGGAGAGGGCTGTTCGACGCTGCTTGTCCTCTTCAGAGGACTTCTTATAACCGCTTTATATAGACACCACGTCTGTAGTCTGTAAACCCCTCTCTCTCTCTGTAGGACTAAATAGACGCCATGTTTGTAGTCTGTTAACCCCTCTCTCTCTGTAGGACTACATAGATGCCATGTTTGTAGTCTGTAAACCCCTCTCTCTCTCTGTAGGACTACATAGACGCCATGTTTGTAGTCTGTTAACCCCTCTCTCTCTGTAGGACTACATAGACGCCATGTTTGTAGTCTGTTAACCCCTCTCTCGCTCTGTAGGACTACATAGACGCCATGATTGTAGTCTGTTAACCCCTCTCTCGCTCTGTAGGACTACATAGACGCCATGATTGTAGTCTGTTAACCCCTCTCTCTCTCTGTAGGACTACATAGACGCCATGTTTGTAGTCTGTTAACCCCTCTCTCTGTAGGACTACATAGACGCCATGTTTGTAGTCTGTTAACCCCTCTCTCTCTATAGGACTACATAGATGCCATGTTTGCAGTGTGTTATGATGGAGTAGAAGGCCTCCTCTACCTCAGCCTCTTCTCTCTGCTCTCTGCTGTGGCCTTCACCCTGATGCTGTGTGCGGTGCCCAGAGCCTGGAGACAGATCAGCAGCAGGTCAGTGCTCTCTCTGCTGCTCACATGTGGCTTAGAGAAGAAGGTCCTAACTCACACACACACACACACACACACACACACACACACACATCACACAGAGACAGTATTGTTTTTATTGATAGTGTAAAAAGCCGTGGAGCTGTGTTTGAGTGAGCGAAGCTCTGACCTCAGAGTTTGGGCTGTTGCATGTTCTGCTCTTTCCTTTAGGAAGTTGTCTTTGTGAAAAGAGTCTGTAAGGCTCCACAAGAAGGAGGAACTTGTCTTAGTGCATTCGAATTTTTATTCTCTCTGGTCTCTCTCTCTGGTCTCTCTCTGGTTTCACTGGTATGAACTGTTTGTAAAGCTGTGTTTCGTGGCTGCAGGGAGCGAGAGTACGGAGACATGGATGAGGAGGATCCATTTAACCCCAGAGCGAGGAGAACGAGCCCCTGTGTCCCACACAACAACCTGCAGAGTCTGTGCAGCTACAGCAGCAGCCAGAGCAGCCTCCACCGCCCTGCTGCTGCTACTGCTGCTGCTGCTGCTGCTGCTGCTGCTGCTGCTGCTAATACTGCTACTAATACTACTGCAGGGCCTATGGCTGAGTACATGTGAGTCCATTCTACTGTGATCTATATACCTGTACCTCCTGCTGCAGCTAGTACTACTGCTGCTATAAAAATATTTAAGATTTTGTATGTATATGTAAAGTATGTAATAGTTTATATTTGTAGTGTATGTAATAGTAAAAATATGTTACGTATGTAATAGTTTATATTTGTAGTGTATGTAATAGTAAAAATATGTTACGTATGTAATAGTATACAGTATATATATGTAATGTTTCCTCAGGAACCACACGGCTCTGTTTGGAGGAACTCCACGGTACGAGAACGTTCCTCTGATCGGACGCGGCTCTCCTCCGCCCTGCGTGAGTCCAGCTTTATGTAGCTCACTCTTAAAGCTGGGGGATGTAACTTTCAGACCAGATAGAGAGGCCAGGGTAAGACCAGAGGGAGGCCAGAGGGAGGCCAGAGAGAGGCAAGAGAGAGGCCAGAGACCAGAGAGAGCGGACAGACTAAAGGAAGCCACATGAATAGAAAACATATTATCTTTTGTGTAAGACAGAGCCCTGTGATTGGCTGAGTGAGTCTCTCTGTTTCACTTTTCTGTCTGAAAAAAATGATCTAATGATGTGACGGATGCCAGTCATACTGATGATGTGAAAATTAGACTAAGACCAAGACCAAGAACAGGACCAGGACCTCAACATCTGAGGACCAGAACCTCAAATGTTATTTTCCTTCAGGATGAATACAGTCCACATAAACATAAACCCATGAGCCAGGAGACATGGGTTTGTACAGAGTTCTGTTGTGGTGCTCTGAAAGTTAGGTCCCTCAGCTTTACTAAGTTCATCTGTTGGAGTCTCTGCTGCTAACGCTGCTTCTCTCTCGATGCTCTCACGTCGTCTGTAGGTTTTCCCACAGCAGTTTATGAGCAGAGTAAGTGTTTATGTCCTCAGCATGCTCCTCTCACCTTCTCTGTCCACTCCTGCCCCTCTGTGCACCTCCTCCTCCTGCAGATGCCTCCCTTGGGTCGTATGTGTTTGTGTGTCATCAGCACGTCCCAACAGTCTGCTGTTCTGGGAGTTTTTCAAAATAACTGAGGATCCTGTGCTCAGGAGTCGGTGTCCAATTAGCAAAGTTTATACAGTGAGAGAACAGAAGGAGAAAACACACTAACTCATAGAGGGGATGGGAGAGAGGAGAGAGAGTGGAGAGAGAGGGGAAAGGAGCACACATGCAGAGTGATCCCCTCTTTGATATTCCCATTGGGGAACAAATTATGTCGCAATTAACCAGAAGTTTATACTCTCTCTGGATTCTCTCTGGCCTCTCTCTCTGATCTCTCCATTTGCCTCTCTCTTGCCTCTCTCTCTTGCCTCTCGCTCTGGTCTCTCCATCTGGTCTCTCTCTGGTCTCTCTTTGGCCTCTCTCTCTGGTCTCTCCATCTGTCTCCCTCTGTGGTCTCTCTCTTGCCTCTCGCTCTGGTCTCTCCTTCTGGTCTCTCTCTCTGGTCTCTCTCTTACCTCTCTCTCTGGCCTCTCTCTCTGGTCTCTCCATCTGTCTCTCTCTCTCTGGTCTTTCTCTTGCCTCTCTCTCTGGTCTCTCCATCTGTCTCTCTCTGGTCTCTCTCTTTGCCTCTGTCTCTGGTCTCTCCATCTGTCTCTCTCTTTGCCTCTCTCTCTGGTCTCTCCATCTGTCTCTCTCTCTCGTCTCTCTCTGGCCTCTCTCTCTGGTCTCTCTCTTGTCTCTCTCTCTGGTATCTCCATCAGGTCACTCTCTCTGGTCTCTCTCTTGCCTCTCTCTGGTCTCTCTCATCTGGCATGTTTGGTGATATGTTTTTCATACTATCATATATACAACACTTGTGACTTGAACCCTGGCCCCCTTTTTCCTGGTCTTGGTCTCAGCCCTGGTCCTGGTCCTGGTTTAACTCTTTCACCCTGTGTTTCCTCAGTATTCCCCAACGATGCGCGCCACGTATCTCTCTATGACCGAGGAGCCGAGACTCTTCCACACGTAGAGCTCTCCCTGTGTCCAGAGGAGGAACTGCACCTCAGGACCCGGACTACAGACCTGGACTACAGACTTGAACTCTGACTACAGACCTGATATTGAGACCTGGACCTGGACCCTGGACTTCTCTCTAAATAACACTGTTATTTTCTTTAAACCACGTGCCATTTTTTATAGAGTTTTTCTAATTTTATGTGAAGCACAATATTGTTTTGTTTTATATTTTTATAAAAGGGCCACTAACAGGAGCGACGGTTATGTGTAATTATAATATTGATGATAATAATAATAATGATGATAATAGATTTAAAGTGTGAGGTTATGCATGCATCGAGACTGAGCAATAAACCTGTCTGGAATGAAAGTCTGAACTACTGTTTCCAGAGCAATATTTGTTTCAACTATAATTGTAATATTATTATTATTAATAATAATAATAATAATAATAATAACAATAATAATGCATTTAACGCACGTACCAGCTGTGGCCAGCAGAGGGCAGCACACCGCTACATCCTAATCCATCATAGCGTCTGGTTGATTCTCATTGTGTGGTTTTTCAATCAAAAATGTATCTAAATATGTGACAAAGACCAGAAATACATGTTGAGGCACATGAGGACTGAGTCCAGGACCAGGTCCAGGACTAAGGCAGGGACCAGGGCTGAAGCCAGGATCAGAACCAGGAGAAACGAAAACTTAGGACCAAACGGTTTTGAGTTAAGTATGTCACCTTTAATAGTGTAGGAAATAGATAGATACTTCATTGGTCCCCCGTAGGAGAAATTCAGGTGTCCAGTAGCAGCAAAATCATTCTAAAAAGCTAACAATATAGTAATAATAAGCACTTCAGGTCACAGCAGCAGAGATGATGTATAGCCTCTGGATTTGAACCGTTTTCTCTGCTCCGGTCAAAAGTAAAATGCTAAAGGCTTCATTGGCATTTTTCAAAAAGTTAGCCTTCCATCTTTTTCGGCTGATCCACCTGGTTCGGACCATGAATCCTTTCTGCTCCAAAACCATGAACACTGTACTGCAGCAACATCAAGTTTAAAAATGTCAAAGACAAATAACAATTGTAAAACACAAAACAGCATCTGTTTCAGAGCTACTTTGGACTTGCTGCCGTTTCCAGCGCATTCAAAAGAGTTATAACAAAAACAATCATGTGGTATGATCTCCATGAAGCTAGTCTTTAGTTTGTGTCTGTCTTCATCCGGACTCGAACCCGCGCCGCTGGGACTCCACAGGTGTCCAAGTTTCAGGTGAGTCACGTGCTTTACCGCTGTCCTCCTATTGGCTGTTCACTCATCTCCAGGGACAACGGTACGTGCGCTCTTCTGTGTCCCAACAAACTCACTCAGATCGGGGGACGAGGCTGGAGTGTGCCCGGGGAAAGAGTGCCAAGGAGCGGGCGAACTTCTCTTCCCGGGGTTAGTCATCCAGACCTAACGACCGGAGTGTGTCTGGGAGGAGAGATGGAGCGGGTGAACTGCTGAGTGTGGCCGAGAGAGGAGAACCATAAGACAGCGGGAATACTGCTCTTCTCTTCCCGGGAAAAGTCATCCAAACGCCCGACTAACGACTGGAGTGTTCCCGGGAAAAGCACCTCGACACTGCGCACGAGGCGTCCGTTGTACGGATCATTCACACGACACGTGATTCCAGAGGTTGGTATATTTAATTATCTTTGGTTCTCTTTTTATTTTTCACATTTTGGCTCAAGAAACGGAGAGACCAGAGCGAGACCAGGGAAAAGATAAGGAACCTCAGAGGGAGACCAGAGGGAGATAGACCAGAAAGAGACCAAAGGGAGACCAGAGGGAGGGTGACCACAGGGAGACCAGAGGGGGACCAGAGGGGGACCAGAGGGAGACCAGAGGGGGACCAGAGGGAGACCAGAGGGAGACCAGAGGGAGACCAGAGGGAGACCAGAGGGAGACCAGAGGGAGACTAGAGGGAGACCAGGGAACAGATAACGAACCTGAGAGGGAGACCAGAGGGAGACCAGAGGGAGACCAGAGGGAGACCAGAGGGAGACCAGAGGGAGACCAGAGGGAGACTAGAGGGAGACTAGAGGGAGACTAGAGGGAGACTAGAGGGAGACCAGAGGGAGACCAGAGGGAGACCAGAGGGAGACCAGAGAGAGACCAGAGAGAGACCAGAGAGAGACCAGAGGGAGACTAGAGGGAGACTAGAGGGAGACTAGAGGGAGACTAGAGGGAGACTAGAGGGAGACCAGAGGGAGACTAGAGGGAGACTAGAGGGAGACCAGAGGGAGACCAGAGGGAGACCAGAGGGAGACCAGAGGGAGACCAGAGGGAGACCAGAGGGAGCGAATGTGCGCATAGCAACTGTAATATTACTTTATACAAATTTCTTCAAAGAGGAATATATTACTGTATGTTTCTGTCATAATAAACTGTTCTCTGTTCTGTTGCTGGCAGGTGTCACATGGTCAGGACCACACTGCCCAGTTCCCCCCGGAGAGAAGCGGCTCTAGTCCGGTCACACCAGAGAAACAGGTCCTGTTCCAAGTGTTTTCCAAACTGCGTTGACAAGACCCAGGATCGTCACGAATCTCTCACAGACACGGAGCTCTGAAGGACAGACACCATGAGTCCCGCTTCAGCTGGTTCTTCCTCCTTTTAGCTCATCATTTATTTTCTGTAGAATTAGTGACAAAATGGAGGATTTGTGAATTTTCTGTTTGGATTGGATTAATTGGAGCTTTGACTGAGAGGAAACTCCAGCTCAATTTTCATTTTTGAAGAAGTCGGACATGAAAGACATTGAGACCAAGGACCATCAGCTAACGGTGAGTTCTGACCAGAGAGACACCAGAGAGCGTCCATGTAGAGAGAGAGAGAGACCAGAGAGAGAGACCAGAGAAAGAGACCGAGGGAGACATGAGAGAGAGACCAGAGAGAGACCAGGGAGAGAGAGAGACCAGAGAGAGACCAGAGAGATCAGAGAGGAACCAGCGAGAGATATGGTCTTGGCCCTGGTTGTTGGCCTCTGTCACATCTTTAGATCAGCTTGAGGTCAATGTGAGGATAACACAGTATTCTCTGCTCCAGGGCACATCTGAATGAGACCAGAGAGAGAGACTAGAGAGAGACTAGAGAGAGACTAGAGAGAGACTAGAGAGAGACTAGAGAGAGACTAGAGAGAGACCAGAGAGAGAGACCAGAGAGAGACCATAGAGAGAGACCATAGAGAGAGACCATAGAGAGAGACCATAGAGAGAGACCATAGAGAGAGACCATAGAGAGAGACCATAGAGAGAGACCATAGAGAGAGACCATAGAGAGAGACCGAGAGAGAGACTAGAGAGAGGCCATAGAGAAAGACCTAGAGAGAAACCAGAGAGAGATCCGACTGTTGGTTCTCTGGTTTTTTTGCAGGTCGCCCTCAGGATCCGACCTCTGAGCGACTCTGAGCTGGAGGAGTCTGCAACCATCGTGGCTCATCGTGTGGATGACCAGGTGTGTGTGTGTGTGTGTGTGTGTGTGTCTGTGTCTGTTTCTCTGGGGAGGTCTTTAGTTTGTGTTTGTCTCTCAGCAGCAGAGTCTCTGTAGACTTGTCACACACTTACAGGAAACAACATGTTATCATTGTGAGAGATCCCTGTGAGTCACTATCTGCCTCTTTGAGCTGAAAGCTGATTGGCTGAGTGAGGGTGGTCCTCTCTGTTTCACTTTTTTGTCTGTTTTTTTATTCTCTCACTTTCCTCATTGTTCAAAGTGTCTTTAGCAACAGAGTGACTCCTCTCCCCACGGAGCTGATCAGTACACATCGCTAACAAACACGCTAACGTATGCTAATCCTGCTGTCTGTTGTTTGTCGGTCGCTAATTGAATTACCCTGGTGTTTAGCATCAGCAGAAGACCAGAGAGAGACCAGAGACAAAGAGGGAGAAACCAGAGACAAAGAGAGACCAGAGAGAGAGAGAAACCAGTTAGAGAGGGACCAGAGAGAGAGAGAGAGAGACCAAAGAGAGACCAGAGACAAAGAGGGAGAGACCAGAGACAGAACAATCATGAGAGAGAAACTAGGGAGAGAGGGACCAGAGAGAGACCAGAGACAAAAAGAGACCAGAGGCAAAGAGAGAGAGAAACCAGAGAGAGATTGAGACCATAGACAAAAAGAGGGAGACCAGAGACAGTAAGAGACCAGAGAGAGAGAAACCAGAGAGACCAGATACAAAGAGAGGGAGACCAGAGAGAGAGACCAGAGACAGAAAGAGAGACCAGTGACAGAGAGAGAGACCAGAAGTCGGAGAGGCTAAAGAGAGACCAGTTTGAGACCAGGTTTTTGGCATAAAGGGGCAGAGGTCAGAGTGATACGGAGAGACCAGAGTAGGGGCAGTTTAATTACACAAGGCTGGTGTTGTATTGTCCTGTTATCAGCAGCTCTGGTCCTCCATATGTTCAAGCTTCTTTATATGTGTGTGTGTGTGTGTCTTTGTGGTGTCTGTGTGTGTGCGTGTGTCAGTGTGTGTGTGTGTGCGTGTGTCTGTGTGTGTGTGCGCACGACATATGTTCCTCCAGGATTACACACAGCAGAAAGCAGACAGGATAAAGAGCTCAGGGAGAACCATCTGTTTATGTTCATATTCAGCATTATCTCTGTTAAAGCTGGGGTCTGTAACTTTAGTCTCATCAATAACACATGTTTAAAGCTGGGGTCTGTAACTTTAAGGGGAGACCAGTGTGATCCAAAAGGCTTGCATTGGGGGTGGTGCTTGTTGTGGTCAGTGTTTGAATCACGATCTCAGAAAATTAAACGTGGGAAAAGAGTTTTATTGCTGTTTGAGGAGTGTCTCCCTGAGTCAAGATTTATACCCAGAGACCTGGACTAGACCTGAGACCAGAGCGAAACCAGAGAGAGCGAGAGAGACCAAAGAAAGGGAGACCAGAGAGAGAGACCAGGGAGAGAGACCAGAGAGAGACCAGAGAGAGAGACCAGAGAGAGAGACCAGAGAGAGAGATCAGAGAGAGAGACCAGAGAGAGACCAGAGAGAGACCAGAGAGAGACCAGAGAGAGACCAGAGAGAGACCAGAGAGAGACCAGAGAGAGACCAGAGAGAGACCAGAGAGAGACCAGAGAGAGACCAGAGAGAGACCAGAGAGAGACCAGAGAGAGACCAGAGAGAGACCAGAGAGAGACCAGAGAGAGACCAGAGAGAGACCAGAGAGAGACCAGAGAGAGACCAGAGAGAGACCAGAGAGAGACCAGAGAGAGACCAGGGAGAGACCAGTGAGAGACAACCGAGAGAGAGAGAGACAAGAGATACCAGAGGGGCACCAGAAAGAGAATGAATGAAATGAGTGAGAGAACGGATGTTGTTGATAGGAGGCTTTGATGCTCCAGTGTGTTTGGCGTCTCGCTTCCGTCATCACTGTGTGGAGAGAATGAAATATACAGTGACTTGCAAAAGTATTCGTCCCCCTTGAACCTTTCAACTAGGGCTGGGCGATATGGCAAAAAAAAAAAATCTCCGATTTTTTTACACCAAATCCGATTTTTGATTTTAATCGATTTATTTTTTTCTATTTAAAAACAAACTACAACTGACAAAGAAATAGATTTTCCTTTATGCAGTTTAATCTAAATCCCCATGGAGCATAAGTGTAACAGGAATTAAGCCTTAAAACATGCTTGTAAACGAGATGGCTCTGCCATTGTAAACAGTGAAAATGTAGCTTAAGAGTTTTATAATAACTTCACTTACAATGACACTATGCACCTTCAAAATAACTTAAATCACACAAACAAGGCCCATCGCAAATATATCAATCCTATTAAACACATGCATTATTTACATGAAATATCACATTTTTAAAACTGATTACTCAAAATAGAAATGTTGTAACAGACAGTCTTTTCCAAAAGCCTCCTCGGGTTTTCATGCTTGTTCTTTCAACTGTGCCTGAGTAACTGTGCTGTAGTACAACGCTCGGTCCAGCTGGTGGCGCTAATACTAACTTCAGTGACATTGTGCGAGCTTCCTGTTTACATTCTGATGCTGTAGCTAACAGCTACTGTAGCAGCTACTGTAGCTAACAGACAGCGGGGAACACGTTGTTTGTATCAGAGCAATGAGAGCAATGTGTGAGACGTGTCTTTCCCCAAAGTGCAGCGGCTCAGTGGGACACGAGTGTGTGCGCGCCACGGACACGGGAGTGCGCTTTGGAATAACGAGCGTGAGAGAGCGTGAAAGATGTGGCGTACGAACATAGCGACCGGAGCCTGCGTGCGTGTGTGTGTGTTCTGGCGATTTAAATAAAGTCTGATTCTTGAACGTTTGAAGTGTTATTGCAACAGCAGCAACTGTGAGAGCGAGCATCAGGCCAGAGGGAGACTGTTAGCATTAGGTTAGCTTCAAAATGACTGCTCAACAACATAGACCCGCGGTTAGCGCGTTAGCGCTGTAGTTCTGCGCTGGAGAAAATAAAAATCGAATTTTTAAAAAAAGAAATCGCCCTAAACGTAAAACTTGAATTAATGATTAAAATCGATTAATCGCCCAGCCCTACTTTCAACATTTCGCCACATTTCAGGCTTAAACATAAAGATATAAAATTGAAATTCTTTGTCAAGAATAAACAACCAGTGGGACACAATCGTGAAGTGGAACGAAATTTATTGGATAATTTAAACTTTTTTAACAAATAAAAAACTGAAAAGTAGGGCGTGCAATATTATTGGGCCCCCTTGTGCTAATACTTTGTAGCGCCACTTTTTGCTGCAATTACAGCTACAAGTCGCTTGGGGTATGTCTCTATCAGTTTTGCACATCGAGAGACTGGAATTCTTGCCCATTCTTCCTTGCAAAACAGCTCGAGCTCAGTGAGGTTGGATGGAGAGCGTTTGTGAACAGCAGTCTTCAGCTCTTTCCACAGATTCTCGATTGGATTCAGGTCTGGACTTTGACTTGGCCATTCTAACACCTGGATATGTCTATTTGTGAACCATTCCATTGTAGATTTGGCTTTATGTTTTGGATCATTGTCCTGTTGGAAGATAAATCTCCGTCCCAATCTCAGGTCTTTTGCAGACTCCAACAGGTTTTCTTCCAGAATGGTCCTGTATTTGGCTCCATCCATCTTCCCATCAATTTTAGCCATCTTCCCTGTCCCTGCTGAAGAAAAGCAGGCCCAAACCATGATGCTGCCACCACCATGTTTGACAGTGGGGATGGTGTGTTCAGGGTGATGAGCTGTGTTGCTTTTACGCCAAACATATCGTTTTGCATTGTGGCCAAAAAGTTCGATTTTGGTTTCAACTGACCAGAGCACCTTCTTCCACATGTTTGGTGTGTCTCCCAGGTGGCTTGTGGCAAACTTTAAACGAGACTTTTTATGGATATCTTTGAGAAATGGCTTTCTTCTTGCCACTCTTCCATAAAGGCCAGATTTGTGCAGTGCATGACTGATTGTTGTCCTATGGACAGACTCTCCCACCTCAGCTGTAGTTATCTGCAGTTCATCCAGAGTGATCATGGGCCTCTTGGCTACATCTCTGATCAGTCTTCTCCTTGTTTGAGATGAAAGTTTGGAGGGACGGCCGGGTCTTGGTAGATTTGCAGTGGTCTGATACTCCTTCCATTTCAATATAATTGCTTGCACAGTGCTCCTTGAGATGTTTAAAGCTTGGGAGATCTTTTTGTATCCAAATCCAGCTTTAAACTTCTCCACAACAGTATCTCGGACCTGCCTGGTGTGTTCCTTTGTCTTCATGGTTCTCTCTGTGCTTTAAACAGAACCCTGAGACTATCAAAGAGCAGGTGCATTTATACGGAGACTTGATTACACACAGGTGCATTCTATTTATCATCATCAGTCATTTAGGACAACTGTTAGGATTTAAGCAGACAGAGACGGATCGTGGTGTGCCAAACTCTGGAAGTTTATTTAAGTTTCTCTCAAGTTCCACTGGTTTACTCTGTTTCTTTCTCCCAGACAGAATAAAGGCAGTACACAGTTTATATAGTCATTGTCACGTCACACATCGAAAGACATACGTGTCACAAAGAGACAGTCACATCATAGTCATAACATGGAGTCCTTGTAGAGTCCTTGTAGAGTCCTGCACGTAGGCCATATTGCTATCTAATACTAACACAACATTGGATCATTCAAAGATCCTCACTGAACTTCTGGACTGAGTTTGCTGCACTGAAAGTAAAGGGGCCGAATAATATTGCACGCCCCACTTTTCAGTTTTTTATTTGTTAAAAAAGTTTAAATTATCCAATAAATTTTGTTCCACTTCACGATTGTGTCCCACTTGTTGTTGATTCATGAAAAAAAATTAAAATGTTATATCTTTATGTTTGAAACCTGAAATGTGGCGAAATATTGAAAGGTTCAAGGGGGCCGAATACTTTCGCAAGGCACTGTATCTGAACTCTGGACATTGTAAAGCGCTGTGGTAAAAAATGCGCCATATAAATAAAGATCACTTACAGAGAGAAACCAGAGAGAGACTAGAGAGAGACTAGAGAGAGACTAGAGAGAGACTAGAGAGAGACTAGAGAGAGACCAGAGAGAGAGACCAGAGAGAGAGACTAGAGAGAGAGACTAGAGAGAGAGACCAGAGAGAGAGACCAGAGAGAGAGACTAGAGAGAGAGACTAGAGAGAGAGACTAGAGAGAGAGACTAGAGAGCAACCAGAGAGAGACCAGAGAGAAACCAGAGAGAAACCAGAGAGAGACCAGAGAGAGACCAGAGAGAGACCAGAGAGAGACCAGAGAGCCTCAAGACTATTGTTCATCAGCTGCTGTTCAAGGCTTAAAGTGTGAACTCGTTTAACACCGCTGTCACCTGAACCGTCCACAAAGGCCTCAGATCCGATTTCAGTCCAGGTCCTGATCTGACTCTGATCCTCAGGCTTACATAAGACGTCTGAAGACTGAAGCAGGTCTGAACCAGGTCTAAAGCAGATCTGAACCAGGTCTAAAGTAGGTGTAGATAGATCTTAGAGACCCGTTGATTAATTGTCCCAATTCAGATAAAGATAAAAAAGATTGATTCGAATTTTGTGTAAGAAGGAGTCCTGTATGATTCTTTGGGCTGAGTGAGGCTGGTCCTTTCTGTTTCACTTTTCTGTCTAAAAGTGACAGAGACCAAAGATACATGATGTGAAAACTAGACCAAGATCAAGATCAGGACCAGGGCCAAAACCCTCTATCTGTTAGTGACATAACAAACTGTTTTAGAGCCAGGTTCTGGTGCCATGGATTCTGGAGAGTTCTGTTGTTGTGTCTGAAAGTCACGTCGTCAGCTTTAACTGTGGTGTAAGGTGCTCCGTCTCCTTCCTGTCGTGTTTGAGTGAACGCTGCGGCTCTTGAATATGAATGTGGAGCTTCAAAGTGACGAGAGCTCGGATCAGAGAGAGGCCTCACAAACAGACCTGTAGCTGTGTTTAGCTCCATCCATCCCCCCATACTCAGACTGGGTATTCCAATGTACCAATACTCTACTTATTCTGAACCTCTGGTCTCTCTCTCTGCTTTCTGTGGTCTCTCTCTCTCTCCGCTTTCCCTCCTATGTCTGGTCTATGCTCTTGCTCCTTTCTGGTCTTTCTACTCTCTCTGGTCTCTCCTCTCTCTGGTCTCTCTCCTTTCTCTGCTTTCTCTCCCCTCTCTGGTTTCTCTCTTCTCTCTGCTCTCTCTCCTTTCTCTGCTCTTTCTCTCTGGTCTCTCTCCTCTCTCCGCTACTCTCTCCTCTCTCTGCTTTCTCTCTCCTCTCTTCTCTCTCTGGTCTCTCTCTGGTCTCCTCTCCTCTCTCCTCTCTCTACTCTTTCTGCTCTCTCTCTCTACTCTCTCTGCTCTCTCTCTCTTCTGTCTCTGTGGCTGACGTTTCCTCAGATGGTGGTGCTCATGGATCCTCCAGGAGACCATGAGGACGTGCTCCGTGCCAATCGCTCCCGAGAGAAAGCCTACATGTTCGACGTAGCCTTCGACTACTCCACCAGCCAGGTGTGTGTCCCGCCGGCCGCCTTTAGGGGGCGCCACAGTTTTAACACTCACTTGATTTTCCAGGAGGAGCTGTACAGAGCCACCACCAAAGGCCTCATCCACGGCCTCATCTCTGGGTACAACGCCACGGTCTTTGCCTACGGACCCACAGGTAGTCTGCTCTTCAGAGGGACCACTTCAGGGTCTGGTTCCGGGTCTCTGGTCTCTCCCTGGTCTCTCTGGTGTGTGTAGTGTGTAACAGCAGTTGTGTGCAGGTTGTGGTAAGACCTACACGATGCTGGGCACAGATAAAGATCCTGGGATCTACGTCCGAACTTTGAACGATCTGTTTCACTCCATCGAGGAGACGAGCGACAGCATGATGTACTCTGTGTCCATGTCCTACCTCGAGGTGACTGCATCAGACCTGCTTCAAACCTGCTTTAGTCCTGCTTTAGTCCTGCTTTAGTCCTGCTAATCCTGCTTTAGACCTGCTTTAGTCCTGTCTCACTGGTTTCACCTCTCTGGTTTATTTGCTGTCTCCAGGGAGAGCTCTTTGTCCTGCTCTTTATGACTCTGCTCTGTACTCTCTCTGCTCTCTCTGGTCTCTCTGGTTTCTCTCTGGTTTCTCTCTGGTCTCTCTGGTCTCCCTCTGGTCTCTGTCTGGTCTCTCTCTGGTCTCTCTCTGGTCTCGATCTGGTCTGGACAGACCATAGGCTGAGAAAACTATATATCACAAACGATATACAGTATGTGAATGTTGTCCTTCTGAACTTTCACATATATAGTTTATCCCTCCTCCCCCTCTGTCCCCTTCCTCCTTCCCTCTCTGGCCCCTGCCTCTCTCTCTGTCCCTTCCTCCCCCCTCTGACCCCTCTCTCTCTGCCCCCCCTCACTCTCCCCTCCCTCCTCCCCCTCTCATCGTAATCTATTACAATCATTCCAGATCTACAATGAGATGATCCGGGACCTTCTGAACCCAACCTCAGGGTTCCTGGACCTCAGAGAAGACTCTAAAGGAGAGATCCAAGTGGCAGGAATCACAGAGGTGTCCACTGTCAACGCTCAGGAGGTCTGTGTCCTCACTGTGTCCTCACTGTGTCCCCACTGTGTCCTCACTGTGTCCCCACTGTGTCCTCACTGTGTCCTCACTGTGTCCCCACTGTGTCCTCACTGTGTCCTCACTGTGTCCTCACTGTGTCCCCACTGTGTCCTCACTGTGTCCTCACTGTGTCCTCACTGTGTCCTCACTGTGTCCTCACTGTGTCCCCACTGTGTCCTCACTGTGTCCTCACTGTGTCCTCACTGTGTCCTCACTGTGTCCTCACTGTGTCCTCACTGTGTCCCTCACTGTGTCCCCACTGTGTCCTCACTGTGTCCTCACTGTGTCCCCACTGTGTCCTCACTGTGTCCCCACTGTGTCCTCACTGTGTCCTCACTGTGTCCCCACTGTGTCCCCACTGTGTCCTCACTGTGTCCTCACTGTGTCCTCACTGTGTCCCCACTGTGTCCTCACTGTGTCCCCACTGTGTCCTCACTGTGTCCCCACTGTGTCCCCACTGTGTCCTCACTGTGTCCTCACTGTGTCCTCACTGTGTCCCCACTGTGTCCTCACTGTGTCCTCACTGTGTCCTCACTGTGTCCTCACTGTGTCCTCACTGTGTCCCCACTGTGTCCTCACTGTGTCCCCACTGTGTCCTCACTGTGTCCTCACTGTGTCCTCACTGTGTCCTCACTGTGTCCTCACTGTGTCCTCACTGTGTCCCCACTGTGTCCTCACTGTGTCCCCACTGTGTCCCCACTGTGTACCCACTGTGTCCCCACTGTGTACAAGGTTAAATGTTAGATAATTATCCGTCTCTGGTCTCTCTCGGGTCTCTCTCTGATCTCTCTGATATCTCTGATATCTCTGGTCTCTGGTCTGTCTTGTCTCTCTGGTCTCTGGTCTATCTGATCTCTCTGGTCTCTCTGGTCTCTCTGATCTTTCTGGTCTCTGGTGTCTCAGATCATGGAGTTGCTGGTGAAGGGGAATCGTCAGCGCACACAGGAGCCCACGGCAGCGAACAGGACGTCGTCTCGCTCTCACGCTCTTCTGCAAGTCTGTGTGAAGAGACAGGACCTGAACCAGGAAGTGCGCTTTGGACGCCTCTTCATGATCGACCTGGCAGGTTCTGAGCGGGCTGCACAGGTGAGATCAGAGACCTGCTTTAGACCTGCTTTAGACCTGCTTTAGACCTGCTTTAGACCTGCTTTAGACCTGCTTTAGACCTGCTTTAGAGCTGCTTTAGATCTGCTTTAGACTTGCTTTAGACTTGCTTTAGACCTGCTTTAGTCCTGCTTTAGATCTGCTTTAGACCTGCTTTAGACCTGCTTTAGACCTGCTTTAGACCTGCTTTAGATCTGCTTTAGACCTGCTTTAGACCTGCTTTAGATCTGCTTTAGACCTGCTTTAGACCTGCTTTAGATCTGCTTTAGACCTGCTTTAGATCTGCTTTAGACTTGCTTTAGACCTGCTTTAGACCTGGTGAGGGTTTGACGTATTTTGCTTCTAAATAATGAGCTTGTCCGCATTTGCCAGATTCTTAAATGTTTGATTTTCAGACTCAGAACACGGGTCAGCGTCTGAAAGAAGGAGCCCACATCAACCGCTCTCTGCTCGCACTCGGGAACTGCATCAACGCCCTGAGCGACAAGAACGCACACCGCTACGTCAACTACAGAGACAGCAAGCTAACCAGGCTACTGAAGGTGAGAGAGCAAGCTAACCAGGCTACTGAAGGTGAGAGGGCAAGCTAACCAGGCTACTGAAGGTGAGAGAGCAAGCTAACCAGAGCTAACAAGGGAGTTAAAGGTGGAAGCACAAGCTAACAAAGGCGCTATAGGTGAGATGGCGCCCTATTCAAATGAATGGCTTGTGCTCAGTAGCGCATGGGACTTCATGGAGACCGGGAGATTAGCAGAACTCGCCTATATTTGGGCATCGTCTGGTCCTCCCGGTTCTGCGCAGTGGATTAGCGCAACGCATCATGGGAGATATCTCCCATGATGCGTCGCGCCAAACGTGGTTTTCATGCACGCGCACAGAAGGGCTCGGCCGTGCTCTGACCAATCAGAGCTGCTCATCAGAGCTGCTCATCAGAGCAGCGGAAGAGTGGAGCCAGAGCGGGAAGGCAAGGAGCAAAGTTTGTGGCAGTAAAGTGTGGATTTAAAGAAAACCGAAGGATTTAAGAAGAAAAACAGTTCAGGATGAAAAGGAACACTAAAATCCCCACAAAATCCGATCTTTATGTAAGCTGTAGGTTCTTTGTCAGCTGAGGTCGTGCTGTTTTAATTTACATTGAGTTCTATGGGACTTTTTTCTGGGTAGCCCGCGTGAATTTAGTCTGTAGTACCACGGACGCCCCCTGTGCCCATGGGTGGGACAGCTGTAAGCTAGTAATACCCTATCCAGTTATTATTAAAGATCCATGCTTTAAGCTAACAAGGCTAACAAGGATGCTAAAGGCGTGTTGTGCGCAGGACTCGTTGGGAGGAAACAGCCGCACGGTGATGATTGCTCACATCTCTCCAGCCTCCATCGCCTTTGAAGAGTCGAGGAACACGCTGAGCTACGCTGACCGAGCCAAACATATACGCACAAGGGTGAGAGGGATCAGAGCGAAAGACCAGAAAAAGGCCAGAGAGAGAGACAAGAGAGAGACAAGAGAGAGACAAGAGAGAGACAAGAGAGAGACTAGAGAGAGACTAGAGAGAGACTAGAGAGAGACTAGAGAGAGACTAGAGAGAGACTAGAGAGAGACTAGAGAGAGACTAGAGAGAGACTAGAAAGAGACTAGAAAGAGACTAGAAAGAGACTAGAAAGAGACTAGAAAGAGACTAGAAAGAGACTAGAAAGAGACTAGAAAGAGACTAGAAAGAGACTAGAGAGAAGCCAGAGAGGGAGACCAGCGAGAGACCTCGCCTGCCACAGTCCTGTCTAAACCTCTTTCACTGCTGCAGGTGAAGAAGAACATGACCAGTGTGTCGCACCATATCGCTCAGTACACCAGCATCATCACAGAACTCAGAGGAGAGATTCAGAGACTACAGACAAAGATCAATGAGCAGCAACGACAGAGCTCCAACAAGAGGGATATACGACATGTGCAAGGTGAGACCAGAGAGAGATCAGAGAGAGTGAAGATGTGCCAAGTCTGGGATCCCCAGGTCACATTCCCGTGTGACCATCAGGATCGATAAACAGCAACATAACATCATAACTCAATACTTCAAAAACTCATAAACTCGGTACTTCACTCGGTACTTAAAAAAACTCAGAACTCGGAATACTTCAAAAACTCAGAAAACTCATAAAACATGTTCAGATCTTTCATAAAACTTGTCAACAATCTTCAGTAAAATACCAAACTTCATCAGTCGATGGTGGTTCCAGATATTGCTTTGAAAACAGTCTCTCCCACTTCTCCGTGTTGGTTTCTTCAGGCTGCATTTGTGTCGAGCCATGAATTCTTCTGTGACGTGTCTTTCAATCACACGTTTCAGCTTCAGTGTCCAGATTCAGAAATCCAATTCAGTCCAAATTATGTCCAAATTCAGAAATCCAGATTGTTCCAAATTATGTTCAAATTCAGAAATCCAATTGTTCCAAATGGTGTCCATGCAAAAGAGGACGCTGGTGTTGTCCATGTCTCAGCAGCTCACAGCCTGACTGGAATCAGGGGCTGTGCAGATTGTCCAAGTGCTGGTCCAGATGCATTCTCTTGAGGTTTCTCAGTTTTGGCTTAAAAAAAAAACACTTTTTGTGTAAAAAAAAAAGTCTTCTGTTCTCTAGATGTTACAGACAAGGCCCGCATCCTTCCACCATCTGAAGAAGATGTGCCAAGTCTGGGATCGTGTCTTTCATTCAGACAGAAGACATGTTTTATTGTCGATGGTAGAGGCAGCACAAACAACAGATACAACAGAATGCAAGTGTATTATACAGAGCGGAGGCATGGAGACCTCCAATCAGCAGCTTCCACGGTGTGCTTGTAGCTTGGCCTTCAGATAGACAAAACAAGGGAAAAGTACTGGCTTCTGCACATTGATAGAATGATGAGTTTAACTTTAACAAAAGTTGCTTCAAATTGTTATGAAATCTCACAAGAGGCCAGAGAGACCTGAGAAAGACCAGAGAGAGACCTGAGCAGAGTCTGTAGTTTATCCCTGTCTGTGATTTATTAGTTTTTTTATTGTTATATTGTCTTTGTAAATCCATTATGAGCTTTATCAACTGACCAATCAGTAGTACAACCAGGATTGGCTCTCTGGTTACTAGGTTTTTGTCATCCCCAAATTTTGCTCCATATTCTTTCCAATGGAATCTGTTTGTTATCTCTAATTCTCATTTGTGTGTGTTTGTGTGTTTTGTGTGTGTGTGTGTGTTTTGTGTGTGTGTGTGTGTGTGTGTGTGTGTGTGTCTCTCTCTCTCTGTGTCCCTGTGTGACTGTGTATGCTTGTCTCTCTGTGTGTGTGTTTTTGTGTGTAGCTGAGGTCCTCTCCCAGAGCAGGCCTGAGGTCCAGAGGCTCCGTGAGCAGTTGCTTCAGGGGTTCAGGGAGCAGATGGAGATCAGGAAAACCCTGATGGACCTGGACAGTGCTGAGTTGGAGCTGCAGGTGGAGACGTCCCACCACCTCCTCACCATCGCAGAGTGAGCTGCCGAGCATCACAAACTAAAACTGAAACCACAAGTGTTTTACTGTGGACTGTATACAAATTATCATTGCTAACCTGCTAGCTCAACGCTAGGAGACCAAGGAGGGAGACCAGAGGGGGAGACCAGAGGGGGAGACCAGAGGGGGAGACCAGAGAGGGAGACCAGAGAGGGGGACCAGAGAGGGGGACCAGAGAGGGGGACCAGAGAGGGAGACCAGAGAGGGAGACCAGAGAGGGAGACCAGAGAGGGAGACCAGAGAGGGAGACCAGAGAGGGAGACCAGAGAGGGAGACCAGAGAGGGAGACCAGAGAGGGAGACCAGAGAGGGAGACCAGAGAGGGAGACCAGAGAGGGAGACCAGAGAGGGAGACCAGAGAGGGAGACCAGAGAGGGAGAGGACTGACCAAGCAGAGGACTTTCACACAGGAATCTCCAGTTTGCCTAAGCAACCGTCTTAGCAACATGTCTGCCTCTGTTACAGCAATTGCCCATATAAGGAAACTGGCTCCAGCTTATGTTCAAATCGGCTTCTGTATTAAGGCTAACACTGTGGTGATGTCACACTCAGTCAGTCATATATGCTGTATGGTCTTGTGTTGTGGTTAAAGCTGGGAGCAGGAGCAGAACCAGCGCAGCAGGAAGCGGAGGAGTGAGCAGCAGAAGGAGAGAAAGAAAGACACAGAGTGGAGAGAAAAAGACTCAGACCAGAGAGAGAGAGACTCAGACAGCTCTGAGTCTGAGACAGCAGACGTGTCCAGTGCTCGGGAGAGTCTTCTGCAGCTGATGAGTGAGCAGAAGAGGATCCACCGAGACAAGGTCCGCTCTAGTCCTCTCTCTCTCTCTCTCAGCCTTCCCTCTCTCTCATCCCGCCCTCTCTCAGTCCTCTCTCTCTCTCATCCCTCCTTTCTCTCTCTCATCCCTCCTTTCTCTCTCTCATCCCTCTCTCTCATTCCTCTCTCTCTCTCAGGCCTCTCTCTCCCTCTCTCTCAGGCCTTTCTCTCTCATCCCTCTCTCTCTCTCAGGCCTCTCTCCCTCTCTCTCAGGCCTCCTTTGAACGGCGTCTGGCCCAGCTGAAGGTCCAGGCCGGGCGTCTGGAGGAGCGTCTTCCCCACACCGTGAGCTGTGAGTCCCAGAGACAGGTCCTGGAGCTGCTGTGTAAGGTCCATGAGCTGGAGCTTGACCAGGCCGAGCTGCGGTCCTCGTCTCTGCTCAAAGACAGTCTGCTGCGGAGGAAGGACCAGGCCATGCAGCGCTTTGAGACACACCAGCAGCTCTGTGACCAGATCATCCAGGGACAGAGGCTCTTCATCAGTGGTGAGCTCCTCCAGGTCTCTCTCTGGTCTCTCTGTTTTCTCTCTGGACTCTCTGGACTCTCTCTGGTCTATCTATGTGTCTCTCCCTGGTCTCTGGTCTTAAGTACCATGTGTGTATATTCCCTCAGAGCACAGTTTGCTGGTGCCTCCTCAGCTGCAGCAACTTTATGATGTTTACACAAAAGAAGGCGACAACCGGCGATTGGAGCGAGCGCTGGCTTTGGACACGGCACGGTTCACTGTCAAGGTCAGAGACACACTGGACTGGGTTCAGCATCATGGACTCAGCATCATGCTGAGGGGGTGCTTTTCTTCAGCAAGGACCGGGAAGAGTGTCATCGTTGATGAAAGGTGGATTGTCTTTTCACAGGAGCGCTCTCTCCCGAAGATCTCAGTCCCTCTCCAGAGTCGAGTCCAGATGCTAGACCAGACCCTGGACCAGACCCTAGACCTGGACTCGGACCAGGAGAGCGTGAGGACCGTGATGCTGGAGCGAGGACCAAGCAAACACCGGAGACACACACTGCCACCGATCCACACAGGACCTGACCTGTAAGTGTGTGTGTTCATGTGGGAATGTGTGTGTTCATGTGTGGCCTGAAAGGGGGGGGTTTGGGTTTACTTTGAATAACGTATGTGTGTCTCTCTGCCTGTGTGTGTGTGTCTGTGTGTTTCAGGGACAGTAACCGTGTGTTCAAAAACAGCCCTCACGCTCACAGTATCAAAAACTCTTGCGTCGTCACTCCACCTCCCATCCACATCAATGGCAAGAACAGAGAGGTAAGGCTGTGATCCTGGTCCTGGTCCTGGTCCTGGTCCTGGCTCCGGTCCTGGTCCTGGTCCTGATCTCTTTTTCTCGTGCAGCCTTTGGTCCCGGACTCGTTCCTGAGCTTCAGTCTTCTGTCTCACAGCGTCAGCTCTCACCTGGACTCCTCCCCCGAGAGCAGCGAGGCAGGGGCGGAGCTAATGCACACAGGTGAGGAGGGGGCACTCAGCGCTTTTAATTTTAAGTTAATAAGAGCCAGAGCAAAGTAGAGCCAAATGTCACCCTGAGCTTTTGCCTATTGGGCTTTATTGAGCTAGCGGGTTAGCATCGAGCTACCATCTGTTTACACTCTATGTTTGTGTCTCAGAGCGAAAGAAGGGCCCACAGAACACTGCGGGGAAAGCAGCGCGCCGACGCTCCAGAGCTCTGGACGTGTTATCTCTGGAGAAACCCCAACAGCGGTGTGCAGCACCACCTACAGGAACCGCTCTGAGCCATGCCACGTCTGACGACAAGCTGTCCAGCAGCACAGGCGACGCCACCACGGCCCAGAGTGACGCTAACAATGCTAACGACGCTAACGACACTAAGAGCCGAGTTAAGCTGCAGCATCAGAGCCACAGAGAGCAGAGCGAGGGTTGCAGGAGGAAGAGGAGGAGCCGCTCCTTTGATGTCACGGGGCGCGCAGTGAGTCTTGCTCTGATCTCTCTCTAGTTCACTAGTCTCAGGTCTTTCTTTGGTCTCTCTTTGGTCTCTCTCTGGTCCCTCTCTGGTCCCTCTCTGGTCCCTCTCTGGTCCCTCTCTGGTTCCTCTCTGGTCCCTCTCTGGTCCCTCTCTGGTTCCTCTCTGGTCCCTCTCTGGTTCCTCTCTGGTTCCTCTCTGGTCCCTCTCTGGTCCCTCTCTGGTCCCTCTCTGGTACTGAAGTGTCTCTGTCTCAGCTCCCTCAGACTAAGGCCACAGTGGTGCAGAGGTTGCGGCCGTTGGACAGTACGTCTGACACACACCTCCACATTGGGGCGCCACCAGTGCTGCGAGCCCAGAGAGGAGCAGCATGCAGAGGGAGAGGAGTGGCCCCTGGGAACCTCCATACAGGTGAGACACACATACACACACACACAGACTGCTCTCTCGCTCTCTGATCTTCCTCTCTGGTCTCTCTGCCTGGTAGTTCTCTGGTCTCTGATGGTCCCTCTCTCCTCCAGGCCTTGGTACAGACTCTGCTCCTCTGTCGACCCTGAAGAGAGTCCCACCGCTGAGGCCCCAACATCTGCACATCAGCTCCACCCAGAGGCTCCGCAGGAACTGAACCAACATCACAGGGTTTCAGATTAAAGCTGGGGTCTGTAACTTTCACACCACAACAACAGAGCTGTATTAAACCCATGTCTCTAGTTCTGGCTCTAAAACTGTTGCTTCTGTTTCTAGTTTCATGTATTTCTGGCCTCTTGTCACATCTTTATATCAAAGAAAGGACCACCCTGTTTTCTGATAAGATGAAGACAGTATGTTGTGTCTTATTTGTTCTCAACATTTTTCTTTAAGACTCTGCTGGATTATCGATATGTGTTATTTATGGGACTAAAGTTACAGACCCCAGCTTTAAAACGCTGTTGAAGATTTGTTTCTCACTGTAGCAGCAGCATTTAAACAGAGTTAGTGTGGATGGAGCTAAAAGTCAACTGAAAGATCAGAGAGAGAGGTCAGAGAGAGAGACCAGAGAGAGAGACCAGAGAGAGAGACCAGAGAGAGAGACCAGAGAGAGAGACCAGAGAGAGACACCAGAGAGAGAGGCCAGAGCGAGACCAGAGAGAGAGGCCAGAGAGAGAGGCCAGAGAGAGAGGCCAAAGAGAGAGGCCAAAGAGAGAGGCCAAAGAGAGAGGCTAAAGAGAGAGGCCAGAGAGAGAGGCCAGAGAGAGAGGCCAGAGAGAGAGGCCAGAGAGAGAGGCCAGAGAGAGAGGCCAGAGAGAGAGGCCAGAGAGAGAGGCCAGAGAGAGAGGCCAGAGAGAGAGGCCAGAGAGAGAGGCCAGAGAGAGAGACCATAGAGAGAGACCATAGAGAGAGACCATAGAGAGAGACCATAGAGAGAGACCATAGAGAGAGACCATAGAGAGAGACCATAGAGAGAGACCATAGAAAGAGACCATAGAGAGAGGCCAGAGAGAGGCCAGAGAGAGAGAGGCCAGAGAGAGAGACCAGAGAGAGGTAATTCTTTAGATGCTCATTCTGTTTGTGTTCCACAGTACGATTCAGGTACAGACTTATTTTAATGCTGCAGTAAAATGACACATGGTCTCGTTCCCTTATAGTCGTTTGGTTTGGATTCTAGAAGGAGAAGCTGTTTGTGTTTCTTCTTCTCTTGTGTGTTAAACACACGTACACTGTTTTATTAACTTTCTATGCTTTGTTTTGTATATTTTTTATCTGAAAACAGAACTTTATTAAATCAACATATGAAGAAACTGTTGTCTGTTTTCTTCGTGTTCATGAGAAAGGACGTGAGACTTAGAAATACAACGTTAGGTCTAAAAACACATTGTCAGTGATGCTGCATATGGAGCCTCCTGCTGGAGAAGTATGGTAACAGCACTATCCTCTTCTACTTTATCTGTCATCATCATCATTTTTTCAGAATCAGAATCAGAATAATTTTTATTGCCACGTAAGTAACAGGAGGTCACAGACTTGGAAATTGCTTTGGCTCAGTGCAACAGTCAGAAAGAGATAATAAAAAATAAAGAATAAAAAACACTTCTAAGGAATACATTTCAATTTGGACTGCCACCTTAACGTGGTGGGGGAGTTTGAGCACTCGGATGATCCTGGGAGCTATGCTGTCTGGGGCTTCATGCCCCTGGTAGGGTCTCCCATGGCAGACAGGTCTCAAGTGACGAGTCAGACGAAGCGCAGTCCGAAGCCAACCATGGACAGCACGACAATGAGAACCGTGACGTCGCCCGGCATGGCGCAGCCGGGGCCCCACCCTGGAGCCAGGCCTGGGGTCGGGGCTCGCAAGCGAGCGCCTGGTGGCCGGGCCTTAGCCCACGGGGCCCGGCCGGGCTCAGCCCGAAGGGATGACGTGGGCAGTCCCTCCTGTGGGCCCACCACCTGCAGAGGGGTCCGTGGTGGCGAGGTGCAGAGAGGACTGGGCAGCAGTCGAAGGCGGAGACCTCGACGACCCAGTCCACACACCCAACATCTGGCTCTTGGGACGTGGAACGTCACCTCACTGGGGGGGAAGGAGCCCGAGCTTGTGGGGGAGGTTGAGCGATACCGACTAGAGATAGTCGGCCTCACCTCCACACACAGCTTGGGCTCTGGAACCCAACTCCTTGAGAGGGGTTGGACGCTCCACTTTTCTGGTGTTTCTCGCGGGGAGAGGCGGCGAGCTGGGGTGGCCATACTCATTGCCCCCCCATCTCAGCCGCCACGTGTTGGAGTTCTCCCCGGTGAATGAGAGGGTCGCGTCCCTCCGCCTCCGGGTGGGGGACAAGTCTCTCACTGTTGTGACGGCCTACGGGCCTAACGGTAGTGCAGAGTACCCGGCCTTCTTGGAGTCCTTGGGAGGGGTACTGGACAGTGCACCGCCCGGGGACTCCGTTATTCTCCTGGGGGACTTCAACGCCCATGTGGGAAATGCCAGTGACACTTGGAGAGGGGTGATCGGGAAGAGCGGCCCCCCTGATCTGAACCCGAGCGGTGTTCAGTTGTTGGACTTCTGTGCCAGTCACGGCCTGTCCATCACGAACACCATGTTCGAGCACAAGGGTGTCCATCAGTGCACGTGGCACTAGGACACCCTAGGCCGGAGGTCGATGATCGACTTTGTAGTCGTATCATCTGACCTTCGACCGCGTGTCTCGGACACTCGGGTGAAGAGAGGGGCGGAGCTGTCAACCGATCATCACCTGGTCGTGAGTTGGATCCGCTGGCAGGGCAGGAGGCCGGTCAGACCTGGCAGGCCCAAGCGTGTAGTGAGGGTTTGCTGGGAACGTCTTGGTGAGCCCCCTGTCAGACGGACTTTCAACTCACACCTCCGGGAGAGCTTCTCCCAGGTCCCGGCAGAGGAGGGGGACATCGAGTCCGAGTGGACCATGTTCTCTTCCTCTATCGCCAATGCGGCGGCTCGTAGCTGTGGTCGCAAGGTCTCTGGTGCTGGTCCCGGCGGCCATCCCCGAACCCGGTGGTGGACACCGGCAGTAAGGGATGCCGTCAGGCTGAAGAAGGAGTCCTATCGAGCAATGATGGTTCGTGGGACTCCTGAGGCAGCTGTCCAGTACCGGCAGGCCAAATGTGCCGCGGCCCGGGCTGTTGCAGAGGCAAAAACCCGGGACTGGGAGGAGTTCGGAGAGTCCATGGAGCATGACTATCGGTCGGCCTCGAAGAGGTTCTGGCAAACCGTCCGGCGCCTCAGGAGGGGGAAGCAGTTCTTTGCCAACACCGTGTATGGTGCGGGTGGAGGGCTGCTGACCTCGACTGGGGATATTGTCGGGCGGTGGAAGGAATACTTCGAGGTTCTCCTCAATCCCCCCGTCACGTCCTCCGTCCAAGAGGCAGAGGCTGAAGATGTTGGGGCGGATACTTCCATCTCCCTGGCCGAGGTCACCAAGGTGGTTGGCAGCCTCCATGGTGGCAAGGCGCCGGGAGTGGATGAGATCCGTCCTGACTATCTAAAGTCTCTGGATGTTGTAGGACTGTCTTGGCTGACACGTCTCTGCAACATCGCGTGGCGATCGGGGGCGGTGCCAATGGAGTGGCAGACCGGGGTGGTGGTCCCTCTCTACAAGAAGGGGGACCGGAGGGTGTGTTCCAATTATCGTGGGATCACACTCCTCAGCCTCCCCGGTAAGGTCTACTCCAAGGTACTGGAGAGGAGGCTACGTCCGATGGTCGAATCTCGGATTCAGGAGGAGCAGTGTGGTTTTCGTCCCGGTCGCGGAACACTGGACCAGCTCTATACTCTCCATCGGATACTCGAGGGTTCATGGGAGTTCGCCCAACCTGTCCACATGTGCTTTGTGGATTTGGAGAAGGCGTTCGACCGTGTTCCCCGGGGTGTCCTTTGGGGGGTCCTCCGGGAGTACGGGGTCCGGGGTCCTCTGCTGAGGGCTGTTTGGTCCCTGTATGACCGGAGCCAGAGCTGTGTTCGCATTGCCGGCAGTAAGTCAGACCTGTTCCCGGTGCATGTTGGCCTCCGCCAAGGCTGCCCTTTGTCACCGGTTCTGTTCACTGTATTTATGGACAGAATCTCTAGGCGCAGCCAGGGGCCGGAGGGGGTCCGGTTCGGGAACCACAGGATTTCATCTCTACTTTTTGCGGATGATGTCGTCCTGCTGGCTCCAACGAACCAGGACCTGCAACATGCACTGGGACGGTTTGCAGCCGAGTGTGAAGCGGCTGGGATGAGAATCAGCACCTCCAAATCCGAGGCCATGGTGCTCGACCGGAAAAAGGTGCCTTGCCCTCTTCAGGTGGGTGGAGAGGTGCTTCCTCAAGTGGAGGAGTTCAAGTATCTCGGGGTCTTGTTCACGAGTGAGGGAAGGATGGAGCGTGAGATTGACAGGCGGATCGGTGCAGCGTGCGCAGTGATGCGGTCTCTGTATCGGACCGTTGTGGTAAAGAGGGAGCTGAGCCGAAAGGCAAAGCTCTCGATTTACCGGTCAATCTTTGTTCCCTCCCTCACCTATGGTCATAAGCTGTGGGTAATGACCGAAAGAACGAGATCGCGGATACAAGCGGTCGAAATGAGCTTCCTCCGCAGAGTGGCTGGGCGCTCCCTTAGAGATAGGGTGAGGAGCTCGGTCACACGGGAGGAGCTCGGAGTAGAGCCACTGCTTCTCCACGTCGAGAGGAACCAGTTGAGGTGGCTCGGGCATCTGTTCAGGATGCCGCCTGGACGCCTTCCTGGGGAGGTGTTCCGGGCACGTCCCACCGGGAGGAGGCCCCGGGGAAGACCCAGGACACGCTGGAGAGACTATGTCTCTCAGCTGGCCTTGGAACGCCTTGGGGTCCCCCCGGACGAGCTGGAGGAGGTGTGTGTGGATAGGGAAGTCTGGGCGTCTCTGCTTAGACTGCTGCCCCCGCGACCCGGCAACGGATAAAGCGGAAGAAAATGGATGGATGGACATTTAAATTTAAAATAGAGTTACAGTTACTATTTACAATATACAAGAGCACATGGTGCACACATGGTGTAAGGTGACAGCATCATCCCATTGTGTCCCATTGTTTGTTTCATGAAGTGATGATGGAACACCTCAACCCGGCCTCCAACTGCACCTGTGCACTGTCCTCCGCCATAACCACCTT